TTAAAGTGGTTTTCTTTTCTTAATTATGGAGTCTAAATTGAATTGATCAATTAGGTTTTTGTTATAAAGTGTCAATTTTATTTTAAACGTATACCCTTCGGATGAAACTTATTACAAAGCTATTAAAAATCTCTAAAACTAAGTATTGATTTGGTATGACAAATGGAGAACATCAATAAATCATCTTACTAATATTTAAACTTATTAGGATGCTTTTATATTTTGTCTAACATTTACTTCAACACATATATTCGATTAAGTCTATTTATATTTAATAAGTAACACTTATAAAACATTTCTAAAATATACATGGCGAAATACAATTTTTTTTTTTTGTGAAATACAAATATTTCTATGATCAAACTTATAAAAAATTTCTAAATCCTTCAAACATTTCTTAAATATATCGCTCCAAATACAAATTTTTTTTTTTTAAATATAAACATTTCTAAAATCTACAGATAGACTGGGCCAGGGTCGCTCATTGCGCGATCAGACATCACTAGTATATATATATATATGTGTGTGTGTACTAAAAATGTCAGGAATTCTGATACGGGAGATAAGGCTCATTCTCAACTAGAAATTGGTGCATTATTGAAGGTATGGATAGACCTATTCTCTGCTAAATATAGTTGGAAGTGGCATCAATTGCACAGCAGAGATCCCGGTCCATCTAACTGATTAATTATGTTAGTGACCATTCAATACCAATGGTCCATTCTTAATTTAAAAATAACAAATTATAATAAATTTATAAATAGAACCTGAGAGAATAACTGAAGGAGTTGCTTAAAATTGTGACTGACCATTCCAATATTTTGTAAATAAAAAATATTGTAGTGGTCTTTCATATTGGCGCCGCATTTCATTGCAAGAAATGTGAGCATCCAAGTGATTAAGATCTCACGAGACAGGTATTTAATCAGATCACAGTTTCACGAATGGTTAAAAACAAATACAAAAAGGTAACGTGTGCTAATTATTTACGTTTAGGAATTTCAAATACAAACAACCAAATAAATTAACGAATGTCGTTTTTACTTCTGGACAAGAGTAGACCACCGACCATGAATATGATTTTAAAAAAGGAAAAAAGAAAAGCTAATAAGCTAGTAATTTAGTTAACTTTTTTTAAATTGGGTACTTCATATTCCGGCAGTGGAGCAGTCTGTTTCATTCTTTGCTAACATTTCAAGCAACGTGACCACATAAATTATTTGAGATTTTTTTTCTTAAAAAAAAAGGGAGAATTTTGATTAAGGACACGAGAAAGAATAAAATTATTTAGATTTTTTTTGTTCTTTTATAGAAAAATATTAAAGTATTTCTTATTTGTGTTAAAGTTCCAAATTTCATATACACCCTTTTCACCCAACCAGCTTAATTATTTCCAAAGGCTCCAGACATTTGGTTCTCCAGTGTGCTGAAAATTAAGCAAATCACGGTGAAGTGGAACCGAGACAGGTTAGTCGTGATAATTCTAGTGCTTCTTATTCTTTTCTGAATCCCTGCTAATTAACAATAACCAATTTGAATAGCAAATCATCCCAATAACGCATCATATGTGACTTTCCTTTTGAACGATACCACACATGGTTTCTTTTTTTCCTTTTTTTGTTTAAGAAAAAACATACATTCATTAATTTGTTGGTAATCGTCCAACTGCGTTTGACATTACAAAAAAAAAACAACTAAAACACAACTCACAACTTCTGGTACATCTTTTATTACAATAACACTGTTGTGTTTGATAAATCTATACAGATCTATTCTAGCTATGGATGTTCGGTTATGATGCTTTGTTCAAATTAAGAATACAATGTTAAAAGCATATCAAAACCCTAACCCTAATCATATATATATATATATATGAATGTTGCCTACGTTGAAAGGCAAGTTCGGCTGAACAATTTTATGCCGTTAAACTACGATCTTATCATGGTATCGAGAGCCGAGTTGATCTTGGTTTGAGAAAAATATACACATTTTTTTTTTCTTCTTTTCTTTCGATCATGGGTGATCGTGTTGAAGGTTCTAGCGGGAAGGACAATCCGCTGGTGGTAACAACTCGGATATTACGAACCGGCGCAAGATTTCGCCTTATGACTTGACGGCGAATGACAGCCTCGGTTCAACAATTACTAATGTCCAATTTAAAGGGCACAATTATGAGGAGTGGTCACGTTCAATCCGTATGGCTTTGAGGGCACGAAAGAAATTTGGCTTTCTTAAAGGATCGATCAAGCCTCCTGTTGATGATGATAATCTCTTGGCCGATTGGTGGGCTAATAACAGCTTGCTTTCCGTCTGGATTTTGAATACTATTGAGCCATCCATTCGATCAACGATCTCTAACTTGGAAGAGGTTCGTGATTTGTGGCTCCATATTCAGTCCCGTTTTTCTGTCGTCAATGGCACCCGAATTCAGCAACTTAAATCTTCGTTGGCTGAGTGCAAGCAGAAGGGGACGTCTGTCGTTTCCTACTATGGGAAATTAGTTAAACTGTGGGAAGAATTGGCTGATTATGAACAGCCGCCACTGTGTAAGTGTGGTTTATGTCGCTGCAATCTTGCTGGTGAATGGGACCGCAAACTGGGGGACGAAAAGGTTCATCAATTCCTCAGGGGCTTGGACTCTGCGTTGTATGGTACAGCACGGTCGAATTAGCTGGCGCAAGATCCTCTTCCTAACTTAGATCGTGTTTATTCCGTGATGGTTCAGGAAGAACGCCTGGTTCCGTCGGTCTCGATTCAGAAATTCAAGCTAGCGAAGCTGCTGCTTTTTCAGTCCGGGCTGCACCTCCGCCTGCTGCTGCTGTTCCTGGTTCACGGCAAGGCCTTTCAGCTTCTCCTGTTGCTGGTGGTTCGCGTGGTCGCGGTCACCGTTCCGGAGTTGATCGTAGCCAGCAGGTTTGCACGTACTGCGGCAGACCTTATCATGATGAAGCTTCGTGGTTTGAGAAGCATGGATACCCAGATTGGTACCGAGGACCTCGTGGCGTTGCTGCTGGTGCTTCCGGGTCTGTTGCTGGTGCTGGTGCTCACGAAGTTGGGGATGGACGTGGTCTTCCCGCCGCTGGCCGTGATCATGGAGTTGGACGCGGGGCTGGTGGTGTTCGTGCTCATGCAGAAGAAGTAGTTGATGCTTCTGCTGGGCCGCTGGTTTTGGGTGATGGTGATACGGCAATTACGGGCCTCAATGATGACCAATGGCACAAGGAAAGGTAATTAGTATATGAGAACATCTAGATGACATGAAACTAGCAATCATATTCTTTGTTTTTGGATTCTTTGTATATATCATATATTTAATCCTTCATCCATTTGGTACAGACTAGCAATCATATTCTTTGTGTTGGAATTAATTGGAAAAAATAAAAAATAGAAAAATTATCAGACCTTTGGTTATGAGAACATCTACATACATATGAGAACATCTACGAGTATTTACGATGTACAATCAAATATAAGATTAAAAAAAAAGCAATTTCAATTTCACGTCATCTAGATATTATTCTAGAACTCCAATCTTTCACTCTGGAAATAAATTAATAATAGCTATTATAGGATCAATCTCTTTCGTCATTATTCAGCCTTTTTTCACTCATTAATCAATTTTTGGTAAAAATTTGAACTATTTGGTATTCGGACACCAAAAGTTTTGTTCTACAATTCCCTCGACTTTGGAAGGAAAAAAAAAAAAAAACGGACGTGGGACACATTCTGTCATTGGAAATTAGCTAGCATGTAGTTGTAGAACTCACAATACTCGTGTTCACCAAATCAATCCTATGATCAACTTAAAAAAGAAAAATTATTATGGTGTTGTTAAGTTAAGGAGGGACATTAATTTGACCCGCACAGTTGGAGTTAATTATGAACTGACTCAAAATATTACAAATAAATATTTATTCTCTCTGTTAAAAAATAGTTTACATTAATTTTTTAAATTTCTATTAAGAATATACAAATCTCAAACCTCAAAACGGACTTTATTTTTAGAATAGAAATACATTACATACTATGTTTTTGCACTTTTGTTGTTTACAAAACAATGGAAAAGAAAGAACGGAAGCTTGAGATCTAGTTGAGACGAACTCGAAGTCGTGTTAATGAGAAAATACCAAAAGAATAAAAAATTCAAATCAATAGATACAGTATGTAGTAGTCCCTCCAGGCTTCTATACATATTAATTCCACAGCAAACATCTAGAAAATCTTTTGGGTTATTTTTATCCCTATTTGACGAGACCAAGGAAAGTCACTGTAGCCAACGTGATAGCTATCAAGTAGCCCTAAAGGGAAAGAAATTATCCAATGCTTAGCTGGATTGTCTCCATACTTATTCACCTTTTTTATCCAAGGTACTCCACATTTATAGTTAAACACACCACTCACACACCCTTCTGATCATTCTCTAAGAATGGTCTTCCGTCTTCCTAAAATTTATGAGCAACAACTCAAATACGATTATTTTTAAGGTGTGCCAGGATGCACTTGTTAGATAGAGTTTTCCAAAACCGATGGAGTTTGATATATTCTTTACGTTCCGAAATTATAGTTTTTTTCTTACAAACTATACTAAAATTGAAATTCAAATTGAACCATAATTTTGGGGACGGAGTGAATAGTATTTTACATTATTTAGATGGTTGACTATTTTATGTTGATTTGTTCGTTATGAGAACATGTTCAATGGCACACTCGATCGAGGAATGAAATTAGAACACAAGACCTCGAAGTTTTGTATACTTGATTTTCACTCTTATCATTAAGCACAATAGATCGAGTCAATCAATCGTTGTGATTCGCACGTTCCTCCCTATCAATGTGTCATATACCTCTAGATGACGAGATTTTAGGCTTTGAGCCTCTCTCTCTCTCTCTTTTATTGTATGAAAAAAAGAAAAATGTCACATAGTTCTGTACAAATAACGGTATACAGTTGGAGAAAAAAAAAATGACTAAAATGAATTAATAATCATTAATGAAAAGAATCCAATTATAAATAGTACATTTTTGGCATGCACATGCACTTGCGTACAAACACATGCACCTCTTTCCTTCTCTTTTTATACCATTCTTCTATCTCCAAAAAACCGAAATTTTTATAGAATTAATGTGAACTAACAAATCCATTAACCAAATGCAGATACGTCTTGAGCTCATGGGACGTCGCGAAATCCCCGCCGTTTAATTCCGGCGAATTCCGGCTGCTCAGCCGGAGTTCCCGTCCCACGTTAGCATATACCCACTGATTATCCTCCATTACTTTCTCTATCCAACTCGTTAGAAGATGATTATTATTATTATTATTTCCCATACTGGATGATGGTTCTCCGGCAGCCGGCGGTTCATCGTCGGGAACGAAGCCCGGCACTTTGGTTATCAAGTCATCCGAATTTACTATGCGCAAAACTTTAGTACCTTGCTCCTCAAGCCGGCACCGGAAGCTATGGTTTCCAACTCTCGGACCACCGAAGGAGACGACGGTCACGAGATGTTTACATTTAAAGGTTTCTTTGATATCATAGGCGGCGAGAGTCGCCAGCGCCGCCCCTAATGAATGTCCGGTCACCGTGAAACTCAAGGGTTCGTCAACATATATGCTCATGATCCGCTTGATTTCTTGCCTCAATGAATCTTGTAAACTTTGAAAACCTCCGATTTTTGAAGTGTATAAACTCAAAAACCCATTATCCACCATTGGTAATGAGGAATCATCATCATGATGAATATCGTTATTATTATTTTGGCCGGATAGCATCGGAGTGAGGGTTGCCCTTAAATTTTCCAGCCACTCCAAGCAAGTGGCCGTCCCCCGAAGCGCGATCACGACGTCTCGCCGACCGAGTTTTGAGATGACCCTTTTGTCCTGGCAAACCGCCACATAACCGATCCAACTCGACCGCATTGCCATCCCATTTGGTGCCCTTTCGGTCCACTTGGGTAGCTGGATGCCGGAAGTGGCGATCAGGTTTTTCGTCACCCGGTATCCGGTTTCCGGCAATCCGGATAGGGCTAAGAGCTTTCTTTTGGAGTATCTGCACTGAGCGTAAGAAGGTGAAGAGGGCTCAAAATCACAAGATTTGTAGGCTGCATCAACGAAGTGTCCGTACCGAACGATTTCGCCACGTAAATTCTCATCAAGGGGATCTAACAATCCTTCCCAGTTTTTAAATCCTTGAATATCCATCCATTTTTTACATAGGGTTGTTTTTGTGGAAGAGAATGCAAAGGAAGAAGAAGAAGAAAAAGAAGAAGTTGAAGTAGTGGAGAGTGAACTTAAAGCTAGTTGTTCCTCATCACAAGATAATTTGGCGCGGGAAGAGAAGGAATCAATGTTGTTGTTGTTGAGGCTTATTTTTGAGCTATTAGGTTGAAGAAATGGTAAATTTGGAGTGGGTTCAGAGATGCAATATTGACCAACGCTTTGGAGTTCAGAACTAATAGGGAAAGATAGCCTCATGGTTTGGTAATGCTATTAAGACAATGTATGTAGAACTAGTATGTACCAATGCACAATAAGTCTTATGAGGTAAAAAAGGGTTTTCTATCGATCCTACAGGTTGTATTGAGATCTCTCAATCGCTAGCTAGCTTACTTATGTCTCACTCAATAATTTTGTGAATTTGAAAATTCTTTGGAATCACTTAGAGGGAAGTTGAGGTTGAGATGGGGGGCTTTTTATAATGGAAGAAAGTGTGTAAATTTGTAAAATTTAAGATTCACTCCATGACATGCATATGAATTATAATATTAACAGTGTTGAAAATTGGTTTAGTAATAAGATATATGGTTGCAAAGTAAAAGTGTTGTACTTTTATGTACACTTGTCTAGCAAAAATGGGGAGTGTCAATGATTGTGTGGGGTTTTGTTTGTGATTCGCCTCTCTGATGCACACGACTTGTAGGGCTAAGATTATATTCTCAAGATATATACATGTAATGATTATAGTAGAATTATAATTTCAACAAAAACATCAATAATTCTCGTTTGGGATAAATCATAAAGGAGTAAAATCCTTTTCCAACTTAAAAAATATTTTGGGAAGACTTGGGCTTTCAAAGGTACGTAATTTATTATATTCAAATATGAATTAGTCAGAAAAATGGCTTCCAATAGTTGGTATAATATTAAGAAGAAAGAAAAACCTCACGTGCCCCATGGGCAAAAACAAATTAAAAATAAAAAATACTACCTCTGTCCCAAAAAAAATTCATATTAAATTTTAAAATTTGTATTAAAACTAGTATAATCATGAAAATTCAATATGAACTTTCTTTTTTATTTTTTAAGACAGAGTAAGTAAAATTTAACACTCTAATCAAAATGTCAGTATTAGCATGCAAACTCTAGAGTGGACTGTAGGTTGTATTAATTTGGCTCTTTTCTTGCCTAATTTTCTTTTGCGCTAAGATCATATATGAGGACGAGCACATTTTATACATTATAGATCTAGAAAACGATAACTATTGTCAAAGAATTAATTGTACTTCCGAGTTCCAATTCAAGCTTACTAGTTATACAATTGGACTGATAGATTCCAAGTATATATACATGTACGTTTAGATTTCCGATACAGTGGCACTATATTTAGGAAAAGAAACCGTTGCCTAACTTGTTCTGTATCTCTTAGATCCTTGTACTGATTCGGAAGGATCGAGCATGAACCAAATTGTGCGTGGACCAGCTGGTTACTTAGTTAAACTCTACGAGTTGATATATAGAGGTCTTCCTGTCTTTTCATCTGCCTTAGTTTGAAACGGCTAAATAGATAAGGTGATAGCCATTGCTACCAAACTTCTCATATTTTTCTTTGATGGAGTCTTATTAGATCTTGTCCCCTGATCTTGTAAAACATTGCCAAACTCATTGATGGTTCATCTTGTTGCTTTAATTGTTGGGGAGAAGATTAATTCCCCCTTTTCATTATCAAAAAATTTTCAAATATTTCCCTATAGTTAATTAACCAAATCATCGTGAAAACATCATGTAGGATACGTCTAAATCTGAAGAAATTATTCTACCTGTTCCCAAATAATTATTTGGTTTGAATTTACAATTTTATTACAATATTAATAACAGTAAAAACTCAAATCGAACATTCATTCCATAAAACTCTCTCCAAATACATGTAGTATCAATTTCAAATCTCTACCACACATGAAGAACAACATATTGATGCACGTGCTCAATTTAATAAATGGCGCATGTTATACATAGGATCTAATGTCTTGTGAGGCCATAAATAAAAATTACAAAAATATAGTCCAGCGAAAACTTTATAAATGAAGGAAGAAGTGCCATATATATTCAGATGGACACGAGACTGGTTGGGACAAACAAAGGTACGTAGTTAGGTAGAGAATAAATTAATAAGCATGCATCTTTGCATGGTCTTTGAGGTTATTAACGTACGTTAACAAAATCAAAATATATATATATATATATAAAAGTATAGAAATGAGGTAAAATAATGCACTATATTCTTTTGATGTAAAATAATGCACATGTGCTCCTTTATCGCACGTTTTTGTATGTAATTTGATGATGGAATTCTTTCTTTCTTAAGCGCCCCCAAGTTTTGTATGTCGCTGAAAGTAAACAGTATATAACAAGCAATGTGACGGAACAGTAGAATTTTGTATATATTTGCATTATTTTTTAGTACTATTTCTTCTCATTTGATGGTTAATTATTGCAATAGGAAATAAAAAAAAAAAAAAAAACTCTACTTACTCACTTATAGAGTTTCATTTTCAAAAAATACTTACCTGATTTATATTTGAATTAGTCTACTAATAATTTCAAATATCGTGTAGGCATATAATAACATACAAATAAATATGTAATTGAAATAGAAATTAACTTAAAATCATCGACTGGGGATGCGAATTATTATAATCAATTAAACCCGCTTTAATTTGATGTAATACCGATCGAACCCAATATATATTGGTTGGTCAAAAAAAAAGGTGATTAAAATGTGTGGTAGTTATTCCATATTGTTGTATTGTTTGGACAGAAAGAATGTAAAACAACACATCGCTCTGAGATCAACGGTTGAATAATTATTTAGATCCCTTTTTTTCTTAACGAAAAATAAAAATAATTTTTTTTTAAAAAAAAGAAGTTTTACTGTTGTAGCACCTGTAGCTGAATTTTACACGTTGTTTTCATGCTCAAAACTGCCACCATGTGGCCATAAAGATTCAATATATTTCCATTGAAATACTACAATCGAAACTAAAAGATTCGTGCAGCTGGGTTTTCCAAATTCAGACATTCACCTTTTGTCAGATTTTAAAAGCATGCATGCTTGAACAGTTCTTCAGTGATGACGAAATGTGAATTGAACCTCTCGAAGCTTCAGTCCAACTAAATGGTCCGAAAATTTTGTGTTATTGACCTAATTTTAAGATGGTGTGATCCATGTAGATTCTGCTTTGTTCTGATTGTTTTGTGTGTGTGTGTGTTAGACGTAATGAAGGTGATTGGTGTTTTGAATTTTGCTAAAACTCTAAGTCATTACTCTCTTTATCCAAAAATTATTATTCAGTTTCAAATTTTACTTTTAGTATAAATTGAACTAAAAATAAAAATTTAAATTGGAAAATAGTTATGGGACGGAGAGAATATTTCTTTAAGAATTCTACAGAAGTCTGAAATTGAATTCAACTGGTGGATATCGATGAATTCGTACCAAACGCCACATTTATTTTTTGCCTTCAATCTTCACCATAGCTAGCCTATAGAGAATGCATCAATTAATGTATTCAAAATTCCAGATGCGCAAAACAAAGAATTTGTTAGTTTACTTAACATGATGTTTAATTTTCGTGCGATGATTTAGTTTCGTAGTTCTTCCCTTCTTCTTGTTGTTTCTACTTTTTTTTTTTTCAATTGTAAATCGTAATAACTGGCCTTTAAGGTTTAAAAAGTCAACCAAGTAAATCCGCAGTTGATTCGCGAACACGTACACTCTCTATCCTAAAAAAAAATAAAAATTCTGCATATAAGTTTGAGGTTTATGATAAAAATAGAAACTAGCAATAAGTTGGGTGAAATTGTTCTTCTGTTAATATATGGCAGTGATCAATAGCCAAATTCCGTCTTTTTTAAATAAAAAAAATCAAAATTAAAATAAAGATTCCATGCTTTATAAATGAAAATGACCGGAACCTTAGACTTTGGACTAGAAGTCAAACCAGAAAGTCAGCGCACTCCAAATCGTTGACATTCTTCACAAACCCTTTCTTCTTTAAGTCGCAGGGGGGCTGGAGTTCGAATCTTACCGACTCAAAAATGTGGCATCTTCTTCTCACTGACTTATTGAAGAAAAAAGCCTTAAAAATATATTTTCACATTCGTTATATTCTCTTAATTGTTTTGAAAAGTATTTACGATTTCTTTATTAATTAAAAATACGTACTAGATAAAACCTATGTAAATCAAAATGTCTTATACTAAAGATGGGAGGAAGTAGTTAAAAAGAATTGAAGATTGTACTCAAAGGATGTTTTTCTTTTTATCCTTGCTCACAAAGAGATTTTTCAAGAATTAGAATTAACAGTTGAGCACTTGAGCTTACAACAAGTCCCCAAGGGATCTTTCGATGTTTTTTGAATCTCTGTCATCGCCTTTATCATTCTAATTTAATGAGAAAATTTTTACAACTAAGAATTAATTAAATGACATCAATCGAGGGCTGAATTAATTACGGGTTTCAGCTGTGCTACTAGTTAATGTTAGAGTTAATAGAATTTGTTTTTTGTATAGCTCGTTATACTTTCCAATATACATGTGTTACTTCGATAGGCAAAGAATCCAACCCTTGTACCCATTATTTGGCGTCATTAATTTAACCTTTCCGATGGGTGCAAAGTGGTTAATGGATTCATCACTTGGAATAAAACTATGGTTGGAGTATGATTTTATAGGAATTTCTAAATATTGAAACATTCTATTTTAACTCTATGCCGGATTTACATAATGGTGGAGCCAGAAATATTTTTTAGTGGGACACAAGAATAACATTTATCAGTAGATTAATTTTGTTAATTTTATAAATACATATACACGTGATTTGTCCATGTTTTACACGTGATTTGTATGTGAATTGTACATCACTAATATCAGTTATATACATTTAACGTATCATAATCAAATCGATAAATATAATTGTTAGTAGTGATAATCTATTTTTAAATTATAAATCACACATAGTAATGTAAAATAATAAAAAATTTAATTAATCAGTCAAATCAAAAAGGGTAATGAAGAAATAGATAAAATGATAGAAATATCTTACCTAGACAGAAATGGTGCCTCTCTAGGGTCGTCTTGTTTGCACATGTATCTTAACCTTTCCTTCCCTTAAACCAAGCATCTTTATATCTAGGACTTGGTTTCCGAACTCCAAGTTAATTGTATGAACAATTTCCGCTAAGTTTCTTGGAACAAAATCGTCTACATATCTTACGCTATCAATTTTTCATTTCAAAGTTCCCATGTTAAGACACTTTTATCTCATGACCTCACAAAAGTAAGTGGCTAGTTGTTTTTGTCATAACTATATGGAATAATGTCGCCTTCATCATTCAATGAATATATAGCTAAAAATTCATCAGCAAAATATACAATCAAGAACCCCTCAGAGTGAATGGATTGATGTTTTCTGCAGTTGATTTTGTCAGCATTAGGTGGAAACGAAAAAATATCTCAAGTAAAAGGCAGTTTTTATGTAGATGGTGAGAAGGTGATTTGAGTTTGAGATGGTGGCAAAACTTGGCTAGTTTAGGAAAACCCCTTTTTATATGGAAAATGATTGTGGGAATTTTGCTTCTTATTGAAAAGTGTCATTTGGGGTGTTTCCATGATCATTTAGGCCAATGTTACTCTTTATGAACATTGATATGACAACTAATTTCAACTTAGAAATCCAACCAAAAGCCCCACCAATATGACGAGCTTGAAGATTTTTTGTCAGAAATCAGAATGAACCTTTATATAGAATCTTAAGATATTTCAGCTGGCCGATGTTAGCCTAGCTTCGCTTTGCAGGGTTTTTCTTAAATTTAGTTAAGCAAGAATTTGTACCGTTATATATCTTCCAAGAAAGGTATACATCATGAACCTCTTTGGTTAGGGTCGGGTCTTAGTTTAATAATTGTCCCCAATAGAGCAAGTGTAAACGTTAGCAACAATTTCCATCATTTTAGAAGAAAAAAAAAGTGAGTATGGACTTGAACGAGTTATTTAAGTCGTGAGACTTTGATTTGTAAATAGAGGTAATTAAGAAGGGTTTTCATTCAGGGGCAATTGAGATTTGGGCAATGCAAATTTGGATGATTTTATCTGAAAAGAATAGTGTTTATGGAACCATATATTTATTCCGTCTTAAAATATTGTACAGTATATCATTGGAAGTTAGCAAATATGATATAAATTCACCGTCTTAGTAAAATACTTGACAAGAGAAGATTATAAAAATAATTAGATTCTCAGCCCGGACGTCGGCTTCACATTAAAATGTTATAGTGAACAGTAAATGACTTTGCTTTTAAGTTAACATAAACGTATGTATACACATGCAGTGAAATGAAATTTGACTAATTAATAGGCCGAACGTGATTTAACACATTGAAATCTAACGAATGGAAAAGAATATTATTCTATTTCGACGACTTATTGTTAAAAGAAACAAAAAATAAAAGATGTTCATATTGACCAGGGTGTAGATTACAGATGTGATTGGAATGTGAAAAACAAAGAAAAAAAATATAGAAAGAAGAATTATCATTATCTTTATAAGCTGAAGCATTTTTTTCTAATAAAAATTCATCATTTTGTTTTGGGTTTCTCTGTGCTCTATACCATTTGGTTTACTTATGTTTCTCACAACGGCTATCGTTACTTTGCTGGCGGTACTTTTTATATATGAGAAAAACAGATATCAATTCATAAATCTATATGAATGAATGAAGTTGGCAATAAAATATTATCTTGCAAGATATTATATATCATAACGTGATATTGTCCAGTATATCATTTGATTTGGGCAATTGGCAATGCAAAATTTGAATGATTTTATCGAAGAAGAATAGTGTTTATGAAACCATATATTTATTCCGTCTAAAAATATTATCCAGTCTATCATTGGAAGTGGGCAAATATAATATAATTTTACCGTCTTAGTAAATTGCTTGACAAGAGAAGATTATAAAAACAATTGGACAAATATCGACCTGATAATCCGTTCCTACTGAATGTTTGAGAAAAGAAGATAATAAGAATACAATGAATGTCCATGTATTTCCCAAAATTGGCATACAAGCCACTATCGTTGTCATTGCTTAGATCTCAATTTACATTTTACGAACTTCATCTAAACTATACAACAAAGAAATAAAGATCGTAAGTAGAAGCTGTAAGTTTCTTTCAGGCGTAAAATGTAGCAAGTCAAATCAACTTGCAGCACCACTCTCTTTTGGTGTCCATTTACTTGCATTCTTTCCTGGGTTGCGGCCCCTTCCCCTATAGTGCTTCTTTGCAGGAAAATTTCTGTGTTTGCTAGTGCTAGGCCGATTCGATGAACCGCCTGGAGTAGTTCCTGAGTTTTCAGCTGCATTTTCACTTTGCTGATCCTTGGCCTCTTTATCGGAGATGGCTGCAGGAGTTGGGGCTGGCCGAGGAAGATATACACCGGGCAAGAGTACTTCGTGTCTTTTGGGTTCGATTAAACCACTGTTCTCCTGCTGAAGTTTTAATATCGCCTCGAATTTCTGTCTTCTCTCTTTCTCTGAATTGGACAGGAGAATATCCTCTTCGTCTACGACATCATTTTCAACAGAACTCTGATTTTCATAGAGAAGGAATAGTGGCACTTTAAATTGGCAATAACTAGAAAATACAGATGGCAAATGTTTATACTACCCCCAAAAAAAAAAAAATCGCTTTTATTCACCTATTCTGTGTTTATTATACAATGCGATGTTCATCCCATTTGTCTCCAAAATGCATCATGTGTTAAAAAACAGTAGACAATGAAGGGACAACATGTATTCTAGAATGCCAGACCAGAGAACCATCACCGAATGGCTATGAAGAGCCTCCCCCCAAGTTAAAATCCTATCAGTAGAAAGTGAATAATAAAATTGAGCAGTAGCCGCCAGTTTTTAAGATGGGGAGCAATAGGAAGTTTCTATTACACCCTGTTTCATGGTTTCCATTGACAGTGACCAATAATAACCAATAACATATATAGGCTCCCCCAAAATGTATCTAGAAGTCTCTAAATGGGCCAAAAATAAGCATAAATTCAAGTCCTGCAATACTCCTTGGCAGCATTCTATGAACTAGGTTAACTCCATAAAACATTGCATGATAACAGATCCTTAACACCCTTTCAGGTTCACTAGCCATGCTACTAAAAGATCCCTTTTTTGTTAGAGATGTGGATCAACATAAGAGAAGGAAAACAAAATACCAAACAAAAAATTTGAATTCAAAATGTAGTTGGCTCTGTAAGGTAATTTTAAAGAGATCCGAGCTAGACAATTTCAAAGTTTTGACGAGTAAAATGTTCAGCAGGAAAGAGAGGCAGCAGAGTCTAAGACATACACCAATGACCACAAATCATCACATTATTTTCATATTATACCAGAGGGATTTGGATCGAACGTAAACTGCCTAATATCGGCCAGAAAATGAACCATAGGCAACCTGTTTGAATACAAACTAAAAGCAAAACACCATAGTTTATAGTTTCATACTACAGTTAACCAAGTCAAAATTCTAATATTTTCAGAAAGCTACCTAAAAAATCATCCTGTTGGCCAAGTACAAGCAACATCCGAAGATGGAAACTCACTCACACTATTTCTTCATTTTAGAACGACACTTGATGCCATTGAAAAAAACTAAAGTAGGCAGAGGCAAGTGTAGAATAGCATTACCTAGAACATGTACCCTCTAAAGAACATGATATTCATTATTAAAAAGGACAAATAAGAACATAATCCAGTTTATCGATAATGAGAAATCAAAGGCACAATATCTTTGCAGATCAAAATGAGTTGTTGACTTACAAAATCAGAAGTGCCAGCCAAGTGAAGCACATGCTCGATGTCCTTTGGAAGAAACACTTTACGACAAACAGGACACTGTCCCTTATTATCTTCATCCTCATGTCTCCCTGACCAAAATAATACTCAGTAAGGGAGATCTCAAAATTATCAGAAATATAAGACCTCTTCTATATATATAAGGAAACATGTGGTAGGTGTTAGTAGCAGGACAATTCCCCAAACACTGCATATTATAGAATTTCTGTACAGATTGCTGTTTCTATCTTAACATGTTAATCTTCCATACCTGCAGTGTTGTCATGATCCACTTCTTTACGAGTTTGAAGCCAACTATACCATCTGATGATGCATTCACTACAGCAATCATGAACCGAATCAGAAATTGAAATTACAGTACATGCTGAAGAATATTCTGCTCAAAAGAAGAATATAGAGGTCATATATTGGTGACTCAACTTACCAGTGGAAACAATGAAAACACGACATCAACTTCATAAAGGGCATCGAAGTACTGCCCTCTTCTTCGACAAGTAAAGGATACAGGCACAAGGGACAGTCTCCATCAGGATGATTCATACTAGACAGCTTTTCAACTGCTTCCTAAGATTAATATTAGAAACATCAGTATCTTCAAAATTTTAGAATAGGCTTTTTGTATGAGTGTATAAGATATAATCACTTGATCATTTAAAGTAACTACGATGAGAAGCAATGGACCACTATTATCTTGCTCACGTGTTATTTGCCCACTCAATTAACCAGTTTCTCCTCACTTTAACTAGTAATTTTATATAAAATGAAAAGGTAAACAAATACCTCACAAAGGGCTACAAGCATCAAACATGAGGAGAGTTCAGCAGCCCTATCCCTAATGCTGGTGATGAGATGATTTTGCCTCTGCTCATCAAGACCCTTTGAATCAACAATAGTAACGATAGGAGGTTCATCTGGGTACTGCCACAACATCACCCATAATCAAATTTCCAAACTCAACCAGCAATAACGATTACGACACTCTATATGTCTAATAATGTGAATAATAGAGCATCAGTTTTAGCATGCAGCAACCATTTAAATGTCAAAATTCACCTTGGAATTTGCTTGAATCCCTATAGTTGCTTCCACAAACTGCAAAACGTGATAAATTCAAACGAGAATAAGCCAAAAAGTATAGGGAATTATAAATAAAAGAGTGTACTCCATCTTTTACCACGGAAAACAACGAGGAAGTGACAACTAAAATCATCAAAGATTCGACCTTTACGCAATAGATAAAATTCAATCTCAGCATCATATTTCCCCAATATTCTTAGGCAGAAAAAATACGAAACAATAGAAAAAAAAAATTGAAACAAAATTTACATGGGAAAAAAACTGGTGGCACCTGCTGAGAAGAGACATCGGCAGTGCGGGGCTTGATGTGAACCTTGAGATGGGGAGGAAAAGGGTTCAGAACCACGCAGTCTTCGCCATAAACTGCTTCTACAGCTTCAACTTCCGCAGCTACTTCTTCCTCGGCCATGATTTTCTGCTTCGTTGTTGGGTCGGTCGGTCGGCCCGAAGAGAAAGTCCGAATAGTGTCTCTAACCCGCCAAATCCCAGGAATTAGTAACTTTCTCCTCTTTTGTGTCTTTTCTACTATTAAGGGTTAATTTCAGCAATTCCCCCTGTATTTTGAAGAAACTGTATATTGCCCCTAAAATTGTAGGGAAAATTATAATTCCGCCCAGTGATCAACCAAACACATATAGCACGTGTTCATCTCTCATCATTCTCATCAATGCAAATCTCAATTACAAATTTCTATAGATCAATAAACATATACATGTTGAGATTTCTACCTCCGAAAAAATATTCTTGTCAATTATTAACGTGTAATGAATTGAATAGACGTGACTGTGTTTATAAAAACGTGAGGAATAAAATAGCATATCAATGCTCTCGCCTTAAAGGACTCGAGCTAGAAAGATTATGAATCAAGATAAGTAGAGTAATTCACAGCTCTTTAGCTAAAGGTGTGTGATTTCAGCTCTCAGAAGTGTTTTTCCATCCAATTAAGGGAAAATGTCCAATATAAACAAAATAACGGGTCAATCGATCTCCAGGGAAAAAAGAAGAAGAAGAAGAAGAAAGAAAATAGAGAGAAATAGCAATGAAGACGGTACAATATTAGCGAAAAATTGAATGCAATAAGTCATGTTACCCAAAAAAAAATATTAATAATAATAAATTAAAAAATTGGATACAAAAGTATTTTGTTTAGAAACCAATTTGTGAAATATAACAGTTCTAAAATGAAACCCAACCGTTACAACACGAAGAAGATTTAAACTCACTATGCGGGGTTAAAACAAAGATGAGCTATCAATCAACTCTAAACGGGAAGCCTATTGTTGACTCAATAATTGCTGCCTATTGTGGTTCCTAAGTCTATGTATATGTACTAAGTACAGGGTCAAAAAAACAAGTCTCAAAATCCAGGCAAAGCTGAGAGGTCAGCTATCCCTTTTGGAAGATCAGCTACTTTTTGTAGCACTGCGAGCCTGTTATTTCTGATTCTTTCATCTTCCTGCATTATCGTAAAGAACACGTGACGGAATTGCAAAAGCATTATAAAGATTACAGTGTCTTAATGAGAATTTAGTAACGTATAATATCTGACCCCTTCACCTTGAGCATTTAGTAAGAAAAAAGAGAACATACCACCATGACGAAAACATTATTGAAGAAATCCTCCAGCGGTTGTAAAAGTTGAGAAGATGTTTCAACAAAAGCATCCACCTCCATACCTATAAGTGATGAAAGCGAGATTTGTAAGTATAGGTTGCAATAGCTGCTGGAAGTAAATCAGGTTTCAAAAAACAGAATGAAAGTTATCATTTCAGAAACAAATTGAAACAGATGTTAATTACAAAGAAAAGCGCACACCTGGGTTTATTGTGTTTCTTAGTGACAAGAAAGTGCTCCACAGAGCTCTTTCTTCATTTGTTTCGAATAATGTTTCATCCACCTGGAATGACCAATAACTGCATTAAACAAAGTTGAAAACAGACATACATGTGGAGGGACATGACATCAAGAAAGTGAACGCTAGACGATGGCCTCTAAAATATAAATTCAGAAACTGATTAGTTCTTATCGCAAGTCGGCATCTGGCTGAAAAAGGTTTTAACTGTTCAAAATTAAATCAGGCAAAAGCATGATGGGTAAGAAACTTGAACACCAGTGATTTGGAAAACCTATATGATGATCAGACAGAAGCAATATGTGAGATACCAGGACAATGGTAAGAAGTCCATGTCCATCGAGATGGATACATTTGTCTTTATGTATGAGAGGTATGGATGCATCGGAGAACAAACTACTTTGGCATAAGAATAAAAAGCACCTCTGCATCAGCTTTTATATCTTTTCCACGAACAATTCTAGTGGGACGAGAATAACCCTCAACAACTTTTGATAGATGTTCACCGCGTAACAATGCTTCCATCTGCAAGTATAATACTTCAGACATTATTTCTGTCCAAGAAAGAGAAGGGAAAATCAACTTGTACGATAAGCTCCTCCCTCAGATGGCAACTACTTCCCCTCCACCCACGCACCCCCACACACACACACACAAAAAAACCAAATAATTGATATCATACACAGCAACAGCATGTATCTATAATACCATAGGGTAATCCAAACTTGAACAGTGACTTTTTCTAGAACAGAGAAGAAAGAGAGCCTCATGACGAAGGGAGAGTGCATCCATAAGAAGCCAAAACTTTTAAATGTATGACCTTAAAAATGATTCCTGAATTAAGTTTCTAAAATTTTAAGCTGGAAATGAAAGAAAGGAACACAGTGGAACTAAATGAGATATTTTTTGCCAAAAAGTAATAAAATCAAAAGCAGAATAAAGGTCAGGCAGTCAGACAGACAGATAAGTCCTTGAATGCAAAAATAAAAACTTACTCTATAAGCAGACTTGGCAGCAAGACAAGGCGCATTGGCCCGTTCCGCTAGAATAGCACGAACTACCTCCGGACTAATCCCCTTATCCACCTGTCATCAGAACATAACAAATCAGTAACCACATAAATATGCACCCACATGAAGAGCCTAGGAGATTCATATATTGTCTTGAAAGATTAGATCATCTAACTATTAACTAGAAAAATTAGACAACAACCAATAGATTATGGAATATTGCATCTAAAAGAAGAGATGCATCTAATCAGCTATAGAAGGACCGGCAGGCTGACAACTTAGACTTGAAGAAATTTTTACGCAAACGAACCTGAAAAAGTTTACTAACTCTAGAAAAACACACACAGACACAGACACTTGGAAGGGAGAAAAAAAAAATATATCCCTTCAAATGAACATATAAATCAAAAGAAGTACACTGCATTTTTCAACTGACACACACAACATGAACGATTTTGAAGGTCCTATGAGAGAAGTATTGGAATAAACTGGACTAACAAGGCCAAAAGGCATGATATTCACCTAGTGAAGTGAGAGAGAAGGTAAAGCTAGAATGAAATTACTGGCTTTAAAAAACATAATTCATTATTGCAATCCCAGGAAGAAAGGCTATCTCTCTAGGAAAATTCATTGAAATCAAAATCACAGGAGACAATTTGAAAAAAATGTGGTGTTTCTACTCCTATTGATAACTGTTGAACTTTTCATTACTTCCTAAGCAATACTGAGTATGAAAGGCACCATGGAGAAAAGAAATGTTTGCATATGTTGCTACTTAACGGTAAAAATTCACATACCAGGAACTGCTCCAGCCTCCGGATCACAAATTGATGCACCTAAAATCATAGGAAAAAATAAAGTAACCTCACTTAACCAATAGAATGAACAGTATAACTGAAAATTATAATGCAATGCAACATAGAACGAAAGCAGAGAAAACATATCCCCAGAGTGGCCCCCGCATAATGTATAGAAGCAGCATTATAGCAATCACTTACATCATCAATGGTGGTTTCATCCACTTTTAAAGGTTGGACTTTGGCTGTAAGCTGTAACGCCTGTCTTAAGTCCAAATTTCTGTTATTTTCAACCAATAATTGAACCTAGATCAAACAGAGACAAATAATCATGAGTTACTACACAAAGAAACTCAGTATAATACAGACTTTAAAACCTTCATATAAACTGTTTATACATACAAGACCATAAGAGACTCTCCTTAAACCAAATGGATCATTGGTAGAGCTTGGCTGACAACCAGCAGCAAATAAGCCAACAATACTATCCAGCCTGCAGAAGATGGCAACAGCCAAATCAATCCCATTCAAGTCAGGAACAGATCTTAACATTGTTAGTAAATTAGTATACACACTTTTCTAGTTATCAGCTAACCGACCTCAGCCCATAGAAGATTTTAATAATGCAATCAAAGTACAGCTCAAAATTTTTAGTATGACAGACAGAATGCTGAAATAGGATTGAACAACGAAAATACAACAAAAGTACCCAGATGGAAGGAAGCACATGTTGCACAAAAGATACAGGTGCTTAAACCCATAAGATAGCTTTCTATACCCCATAAGTTACAGAAACTACCTCAAAGGTGTTTGCCTCATTTTCTTGTCTATTTAGGCTTATCCCACTTTCACAGTAACTGATTAACCGTTACAGCCTCCCAAAAGTAAACACCAAAAACACAGATAAATGTCGAAGGAACCGCACTATTGGTTAACCTGTCAGTGATAGCCAGAACAGTCCCTGCATCAGTCACTGGAAGCCTGTCACCTGAAAAGCGTGGTAGTGTTATCTCAAACAGTGCCTCTGCTACCTGTTACATGTGAAACACAATATATTAAAATCTATATATAAACTCTAACTTCAAGAAAAGGTAAAGTAAGTACGAAATAAAACCAATGCTGGCGAATCAGTACAAGAATCAAAACATATGATACCGAAGGTCAAGCGTTTCTACTAACCTCTTTTGAGTAACCATCCCTAAGAGCATAATGGCGAGCCATTATGCCTGAGAGGGAGGTAAACTCCATTACGATAGCAGTAGCAAGATCTGCCATTGCCAATGATGCAGCATCAACAATGGCTTGACGGACACCTTCAGTTACTCCTAGTGATGAGCCTACTTCAGGAGCTATACTTTGGATGCGGTTCACCTTGTCCAGCATTGTTCCCAGCTTCTCCTATTGAGACAGATCCATAACGAAAGTTATTAAGCACCTGGATAACCGCCTCTATACAACTCAACAGGTCAAAACTTATCCAATCAGTTTAACTCATCAGACTTGGGACTTGGCATTTAGCAATAGATAACACCAAAGAATTTTTGTCACCAGATGCGAACTAAGATTATCTGAAAATATTCAAAACAACTTTTTTAAAGATTGAATCACATCAAGCATAGAGATTAGCACCTAAGACCAAGAGTGTATGCTTCAAAATTTTTAGCAGTTCTATAGAAGTTAGCAACTAAGACCACAGTCCATCCCCTTCAGAAGTAAGAATAGAGAACCAAGAGTTTAGGTATAGAGTGCACTTACATGGAAAAGAATGCCTTGGAGTTGACCTTGGAATTCAGAAAATCTTATACTTGTATCCGTCTCGTAGAAAAACTTTGCATCTTCATAACGAGCTCTGGGAATGGAGGTTCAATTTAGTTCAGGTATGTAATCAACAGGTGAATTCTTGCACATGGAAGTAGAATGCATTTATATAGAATTAGGAACCTAACTTGAAAGGATTCATCCATATTAAATTGTTTTAGCAAGGCCGGGCCCAGTACAGATAATATAAGGGTATTGCATTAGGTCCATAGAAAGCATGAAACTTTGTCGCATTCCAAGATCATACAAAATCATGTGATGATAAAATTATCATGTCATGCTGAAAAACGGTCCAAATAACTAACTCTAGAAAGTGGGATAAAAGCTCTTGCATAAAAAATAAAAGGGAACCTTAGAACAGCTTCATTGCCTTTTCTAACAACAATTTCGTCGATTGCTCCATTTGCAACCTGCAATAGAAAGCAGTAGAAGATGATTACTAAGAAACTAAACCATTTCACATTCAGAGATCAGCATAAGTACTAAAAGCAGTAGTAAGTGAAAAGTTTGACTATCTCACAGAAATGAAGTATGGCAGCAAATTTCCACTCTTATCGGTTATGGCGAAGTACTTTTGGTGCTTCTGCATCACCTGCACATAATTTATAAAAAAAAGAAGTTATTGAGTCACCTCTACAACAAATAAAGCAAGTATTACTTCAGACCAGCCAAGAAAGAAAGCATACTTTTGACCATTTATACGTGGTGACAGTAACAATTCCTTTTTCTATTTTCTTTGGGAAGAAAACAAGATACTTTATTTTAATGAGGAAAAGAGCAAAATACACATAAATAAGACAACAGAAGACAATAAACATATCAATTAAGCACAGCAGCAGATAAGTAGAAAACGCAATATTTGAAAAGATAATTACCAAAGAAAAAAAAAAAAAAACTAACATCAGACAACCAACAGGGGGTAACTTTACATTAAAGTCCTTTTCCTTTTTGTGAAGGGCTTTAAGTTGACAGTTTTCATAAACAAAAAGGGAAAAGTAAACAGCAGCATATTGATTGAAGATATAGAGTTTCATATTATTAAATATATACATATATATACATATACATATATACATACATACATACATAATATTTGGCTGGGTGCATATTTATATGACCTACCATAACCAGTAGTTCCTTCGGAAGCTTTAAGAAGCTGTCCTTGAATTTTCCAAGTACTGGAACAGGTGCTTCAACAAGATTTGCAACCTAATACCGAGGAAAAAAAAATTCAGGATACGACATATTGTCACAAAGATGATATCAAGTTAATAAAAATATCTTGATATACCTCATCTAACAGATTGTTCTCCATAATGACACAGCCATTAACAGATTCTGCCAGAGCATTTGCTTGTTCCGAAATTGTTTTCTTCCTTTGCTGGAAAATTGTATTTGTTACTCTTAGATAACCATAGTTCAACTATATCAATGCAAAACAATGGATCATAGAAGCCACCTCAACATCAATAGAAATTCCAGCCTGCCGTATTAATTCCGCATAAGATTCTGCACTAGCTACCTGCAAAATCTTTTCATGATTCGATTTGTCTAAATATACTTCATAGAAAGCGAAAAAGACAATCTACCAGCTTTTCCAGGATTCAAACCATAGCACATTCAATTCACTATCTTAAAGGATAAAAGTGTCCCGTGCATTTACCTTCATAGTAGCTGCCACAGTGTTTCTAAGACCATGAGAAATATTTCCACTGCAAAAAAGCATCGAACAAGAAAATGTTAGTGGTGAAAAGGTTTAGTTATCACATACGCATGCTACCGCCGAAAAGAGATATAATAAATAAAGGGATATATGTCAGCATAAAATACTAATGATAAAGGCAAATATTGACATAGCATCCAGATGTCTAAAGTCATCCTTTTCATTTAAGAATAACTAGTTCCTCGAAGGTTTAAACTGTTTTAGGGCATCTCCAACCAAGACACCAAAACACTAAATTTGGTGTTTTGGCGTAAAGATTGCACTCCAACGAAGACACCAAATCACTGCACTATTTTGGTGCAATGGATAGTGCTACACCAGATTTGGTGTAAATTATCCATTACACTACTTTTAGTGCACTATCTTTTACTTTGATATAAATATATGTTTGCTATGTAATTGAAAATTATGTTGTGAAAATTATATTATATTAAATATTTTGTTGAGATCTACAAAATAAGACCCACATTAAATATAAAATTTATTTTTTAAAAAATTAATTTTAGCTATTATTAAAATTAAATATGAAACAAAATTGGAAAAAAAAAATGATACTACTACAATCAAATAAAAAGCGATTATAAAAAACAAATTTCACAAAAGTATCAACAAATTACAAGATTTTAATTAACCAAAAAATAAACTTTAACATAAAACATTAAATATTTAAACCATTTGGTGCATCAAGGTTGGAGATCAAAGAACTTTGGTGTAAAAAGATTCTTGGAATATTCTATTCTTACACTAAACTTGGTGCAAATTATAGTGGAATGATTGGAGATGCTCTTAGCACCATTAAGCACATTTGTTAAGGCAATGTTTCTCATGGAACTAACAGCCAAAAAAAGATCACAACTTTAAGCAGAAGTGCAGACAAATAAAGCACCACTGGCATATGCTCATCTAAGGATTACTAGTTCCTAGAAGGTTTAAACTGTTTTAACAATAACATTAAGCACATTTCTTAAGGCAATGTTTCCCATGGAACTAACAATCAAGAAAAGATCACAACTTTAAGAAAAAGTGCCGACAAATGAAGCATCGCTTATATGATTGTTTACTGAGATTCTTTTCAACTTTCAATGTAGTTTACGAGCTGAGAGAATTAAGCGATAAGGAGGAAGATAAGAAAACACACCTGAGAACACCAGCAAAACTAAATGGAACAACACTATCTCCAAGTAGAGCCAAAATCCAGCGAATAGGTCTACTGAACATAACCTTGTGACAACAAATCAAAAAAATATTCACCCTCAGAATTTGAGTGAGAGTAAATAGAATTTACCATCTATTCAAATGCGAGTGGGCTCAAATTGATATTCAACTTCAAAAGAGTCACAAGATACCATCCAAACAATTTCATTTTCTCATCAATGGTGTACTCCTCTTTTTGTCTAATGCTTTTATTACTGAATTATCTAATCTAGTGAGCCCAAACATTACTACCTCATCATATGTTCATTTTCGTATTCAGCGACCCACTACTCTGATCGAGAAAGAACCACTACTAGCGCTGTTTTATACAATTTTTATTCAGTTTCAGTGGTACTTCGTCGGATCCATTGGTTTCCCACTTCTAATGGGAAGGGGGGGGCATTCATTGCTATTGTTCCCAATCTTCTTGAAAGTGGGAATGCGCAAACCCAAAACAATGACCCAGTAAGATACTAATTAAACCTATCAACACCCCAGGAGAAGGCAATCTAGTTTATCAGGCACAATTGTGCAATCAAAATAACTTGTACAGGGCATTGCATTCAAAAAGATGTGTCAAAGCATAGCAAATTGCTCCTCAAGATGCAAGCCGTAATCAACTGTACAGATGTTGTCAAGGCAAAGGCTTTCTCCGTTTCTGGCAAAGGAAAACCCTTGGTCCCAAAAAAGGTGATATGGGAGATTGATCTAAGGAAAATTTTGCAATTGACTGGTTAAAAGTGCAAATGTGCACTGATGTCACATCACCGATATGCTAGGCACATTTTCATATTTCAAAGTCAACTGTTTTAAGTCAATTTCATATGTATTTGTTTTCCAGCATCAACAAATTATTTTGGAACAAAGTATACCACAATGCACTGGATCAATTAAATTTAGGCCATTTATTTTAATCCGACTTTAAATGAACAAGAAGAAAGCAAAAATAGAGCAATTCATGTATGAATTTGAAATACACACCTCGGAGTTCCATCTCATTGACTTCGAAAATGCTATTTTAGCAATTGTTCCAGGTAATTCCTCAGATAAAACCTGAAAAGCCCAAATCAACATAAATAAAGTAGTATACAGTGGCCAAAAGGATACTTGAACTAATGTAGAATGAGTATGATATTTCAGCAAGAAACTAGGAATAGGAATTTAAATATGGCTGGTTTACATCATCTACAAGTTCCTAGACCTAAAAGGATAAAAAGTTTATTATCCGAAACAAGATCTATACATTTGAGCGAGTAATGCTTAAATGGTCATTCTTTGTACTTTTTTCTACCATGTGCCACGTGACTAACATGTCAAACTAATGCTTTATTACAAGAACTCTGAAACCTGAAGCATGACGTAAAAACAGAACCTGAAAAGAATATCCAACAACGATAGTTCCACAATAACACAGATGTAAGCACAATACCCACAATGACACGTACAGATCAAGATTTCTTTTAACATCCATGCCAGCAAAAGAAGCATCAGTTTTTTGCAAGATTTCAGTACCGGTTTATGGTCTTTCTTTTATTTGGATGAGACAAGGAGCTCTACTAAGGAGTTTAAATCTAGACCATGTATGAAAAGCAGAGAAAAGCTTGTAAATATTTAAATCTAACCAATGTATAATAAATAGAGAAAAGCTTGCCAATATACCTGTAAAGCATACTCTGCAGACTCGATGACCCGAACAAAAACATAATCTGTTTTTCCTGTAATGATTAGAAGGAGTAAGTCCAGAATTTCTTGCCTAAGATGAAAGAACATAATAAATTAGCAATTTACTTGTAAAAATCTACTTATATTCCATACTAAGAAAATTCAATAATAAATAACCTAAAATCTCAGGACCTTCATACTTAGATTCATGCACTTAACTAAGTAAGGTTGAACCTTTCTCGTAAACACATATACACCTAAAGCATGTATTTTTATCTTCAAGGTTCAAAATTCAAATTAGCTGAACTAACAGAACCAATGAAAGCAACAAATAGCCATGCAAACAAGAATGCAGCAGATAGCATACCTTCAACCTTTGTATACATTGAATCTACTGGGACAGAATTTCTGCGACAAAATCCTTCAGCGGCCTGCAAAGTAATGCACGTTCACAACCGTTTTGATGAATGTAAAGGAAGTTCTCACTTTTGGATATAGAAGGTTGATAAATGTAAATTCAGCGAACACACAGTTCAAGTGCTAATACAGCAAATGGCAGCATCTTGAACAAGATATGCAACAAATCAAGCAAAAAGGAAACAACAGCAAAACTCTAGGAGACTAACCATCAAAATCCCAGGAAAACAAACACACCCGTGAAGAGTTTGTAAACCCGTGCTGAATATACTCAAAAAGTGAAGTAAACACGAGTTTAGAGACAGAACCCAATAATGGACTCTAACTAAGCCAGTCAGCTCTTACCAAACCAGCATGGGCAGAGACACAGAAAATTTAATTCTGCCAGCTTTTGAAATCTAATTGTTCAATGTAGAAGGAAGATATAATAAATTTTACAAAGAAAAGACCTTTGTGGGTTTTCCATGCTGGTCAAATGCTTTGGAAACTGGCGGTCCCCGAACCTCAATCACACTTTCATCTTGCTTAGCATACAAGTTTGCAACATGAACCTGGCAATAAAAGTATCGCAATGGTTAAAAAATCTTCAGGAAATGCCATTTTTAGCTTTTCAGAAAATAACAAAAGCAAACCAAAGGAGAAAGAGTTTGCCACAAATAATTGTCAAATCATCTGTGGTAAAAACACAAATTATCACTCAGTCTGCACCAGTTCTTGGCTATTCACAGTTCAAAGTATTATTTTTCTCCTCATCTTGATAAAAGGATCAATATCTGTCACCTTCATCGAGACCATGTGACTTCCCGAACAACTAAAAGATAAAGGTTAATCCCATTTCTTTAGGAACTGTACTATGAACACCAGCAATATGGTATTATATCTGCTTGGGGAAGGAAGCCAAAGGCAAGGGAGTTAAAGCAACTGTGTCATGATTCCATTTGATTAAGGATGTTTTCCTTGAATTTTTTTTTTGGATGAAAAGTTGAATTTCATTCCATATGTGTAGGTACAATCGCTAATTTTCTCAAAAAACTCTACACAAAGGGTGGTTTTAAGGAAAAAAAAAAAACACACACACACACTCTACACAAAGGGTATTTACTTACTACCACTATACATTAATATAAGCAAAAGATCACCACATATAATAGCAACCTCGGGCAGATTTTCATAATATTACACCACCGCCTGTTCTTGGAAGGATTCTTGAATTTGATATATCACCCAAATTGTCATCATTCCTCACACCGCTAATTAGCTCTCACAATCGACCAAACATTTTGAAACAATCTAATTTAGCAAAGAAAAGTGAACCTCACCCATAATTTCCAATAAATCACGAAAGGTGAGAATCCGAACTAATCAAATAAATTAGTAAGCTCAAAAAATGACCAAGCTACCATACAGAATGAACTGGGAACAATACATTCACCATGCCAAACAGGCACACAATGTAAACAAATAAAATTACAAAAAGACATCATCAAAAGACTTCAGATTATAACCATAGCGCATCATCTCAGTGAGCATGGATCTTGAAGAATGAAATTCTTGGCTGTCCTCAAAATCATTACATGCCGTATCTATAAATCTCATCCCAGAAAACTACTTAGAACCTCGTAACAAACAAAAGCACTGAAGGAAAGTTGTTTAAGGCTTTTAGCACAATAACCGCATCTTGCATTGACTAGGTCTGAAAGTTGACTGTCCTGTTCCTCAGGGCCATATGTGTATTAACACTTTCTTTAAATCCTTACCAGGACATGTTACACAGTAGTATTTCACCAATTTGATTGGTCCCATCAACCCCGAGGGTGACAGACATTATGTTCAACACGGACAAAGGTATAATCCCAAAGAAAACAAGCAAAAAGATAGTTTGATTTTGAAAATGGAATGTTCTGAATGCAATTTGATTGATGCATCAACCACTAGGGTGACAGACATCTTCGGCAGGCATTAATCCTTGAACTCTTTTCTTTTGTTGGTTTGTCATAAAAATCAAGTAGTCGAATAAATTTAATGAAACAGTCGAAATGGAAACTATTCATGATGACTGGAACATACCACTAATCGCCGTGGGGTACCATACATTCTCACTTCTCCATGATTGAGTCTCTTTTTTTCCAGTAATTGCACTACAAGATCCTGGAGCTGCAAGAAAGAACATTGTGCAAGCTCTGATATTATTATTTGATTATAGAAGTCAATATCAAAAATCAAGTTGGTACATTTTCCGTATCCCAAACGTGAATGGTTATTCTTATCTTGCATAATCATTCTTAAACAAGTAGATAGACATGTCAATATCCATGCTACGCAGAAAACATTGATACCTCTTGCCAACAGCTTAGGACATGAGGTAGACAGAATGAAGGAGTTCATAGCTCAGCATAAATACAGCATGCAAAGAGATGGTTACATGCTAGTGAGAATCTAAAAGACCAAGGTCTTCTGTAAGACAGTGAAATGTACGTACCTGATTGCATGCATTGATAACATCATGTGGGGGTAGTTCTTCAGTTCCTATTTCAAGAACAAATGTCCTTGGCTCCTGAGAAACCTGTTTAACACAAAAGACCCTTCATATTAAACCGATATTGGACCACAAGAAACTCTCATCGCTTGCTAAAGAGTAAACATGCAAATCATAAGCATAGACAATACGAAAAGGCTACTTTAGTGGTAATAACACCCAAATGACAGTTCCACAGAAGGAATGCAAGAAAACAACAGGTCTAAAAAGTAAAAACTAAAACCAAAGCAGGAAACACAAAGCATCAGAAATACAAACCTTTTGCACTGCTTCCTCAAGGACTTCCCTTTCAATAGCATGACTACCAGGTGGAGAAATGACACCGAGTGGATAGCCAAGAGTCTCTCTAGTCTTCAACCATAGTTGTGCACATTGACGAGCTAAACTGGAGTACAAGCGGGGAAGATATAAGGATGTACTTCTCTAAGAATCAAATTCCATAACATTTATGATTGAATTTTATTTATAAAAAAAAAAAAACAAGGGTGAAAAAGAAAAGAACAAGATAAGCGACAGAATTTCAAAGTGAGCAACACTTGCACTCCTCATTTCTAACTAATATGCACATAAATATAAACTTAACCAATAATATTTTGTCCTCTAGCACCATCTCAACAAGCTAGAACGACAACAATGGACTGTTTGTATATATCTGCAAAGAGCATCAAAGTTCAACTCTCACCTGCGCATCCTGCCAAAATAGCGAGCACGTTCAGTCACACCAACAAAACCTCTGGAATCCATTATGTTGAAAGCATGAGATGTCTTCAAAACCTGATCATACCTAACACAACAGAAGTTGATGTCAGTCAATGAAAGCATCCACTAAAGCTTTGTTAATTAATTAAACAAAAGCAATTTTAAGAAATAGAAGACTTACGCAGGTATTGCGAGGCCTAAATCAAGCAAAGAATGGGCCTCTGCCTCAAAGAAATCGAAGTGTTTTTGAATATGATCAACACTTGCATGCTCCAAATAATAGGCACTCATTTCCTTTCTGATTTCAGCATTCAGTTGTCAAAGTAAAAGATTAAACAGGGCGTAGGTCTGGCAGGAAAAAGAAAACTCATGCAAAATGAAATCATAGCTATTTGTGTTACAAGCCTAACAATAAAAAGAGATAAATTCAATTTCACATGATAAAATTTCTGACCACTGTAGCGATGCATTATGTATGAGGAACAAGTTGCGTTATAAGAATGCCAAAAATATACGACCCAAAAGAAACCTCTTCTGCATTTTATGACAAGAAAAGGACAGCATGTACTTCATCTTTTACTTGGCCTTTAAACTTAACTGAACTATCAATTAGAGAATGTGAATCTCTAAGAACAACCCCAAGCAGATGCTGTCACAAGAACGTAAAACATGCAACACTATCAAAGGTTGTATACATCTTTATTTATTTACAAGTCTAAGGATGCCCACGAAGCTACATGCATAGAACTCCAAGCATCACAGATCCATAAATACTATAAAACTATTCAACACCCAATATGTTATCATCTTCAGATGTCTCAGAATGTGATCATCTTCATCTTAAACAACACTAAAACCCAATATAATCCAGCAAAGTCCTCTATTTTTACTTTCAATGATTTAAGCATTTTGCGTTTTCTTTCAACCTCAGAGTTAACAAAATGAAACGACCAGCTCAAGGAGCCATTTCACACTGTAGTTGTTAAAAGGCATATCAGGCAAGTAGCATTCATACTCATTCTCTGAAAATAGCTCCCCATATGTGATTCCATCTACATATTGAATCTTCTTGAAATGATCAACTCCCTGCAAGTACAAATAATATCTTACCAAAGGAGAAAATTAACAATCAAGGAAAAACAAAATTTGGAGTAAGAATAACCTGAAGTAACATAAGGATGCGCTCAAGACCATATGTTATCTCAACAGATATAGGCATCAACTGAAGGCTTCCAGCCTAAAGATGAAAATTTAAGGACAAAATCCATAAATCTCAATGAAGTCGATTAAAATTTAATTCTCAAATATATCAAGATAACATTTCACAAACTGAATTTCATCGAGGAACTCTTTTATGTTAAAAACTGATTATTAAAAAAAACACCTGCTGAAAATAAGTGAATTGAGTAATCTCCATCCCATCCATCCAAACTTCCCAGCCCAATCCCCACGCACCAAGCACCTGTAGTCAAAACCAAGAATATGCACATCAAATAAAGCAATTATAATGATTTGATTATGTACTAGTGCCACTACAGCCTAATGCCATCATATTAGAGTCTTACAGCCTAACACAATAATATAAGGAAAACAGATTGATATTACCACACTAGTATGATGTTTCTTATACAGCAAAAGAACCTACCGGGCTTTCCCAGTTGTCCTCCACAAAACGAATATCATGTTGATTAACGTCAATACCTGCAAAGTATTTCATGCAAAATCCCCTATAAGTTAAAGAAACAAAAACAGACACAGAACTCCGTGCATGCACATAAATGTCAAGGTACAGTGAAGATACAGTACATGCAAGTATAACAATAAAAGGGGAAAAGACAAACTACCATTTCATTCTTTTCCTCTTCCAACATATTGGCTAATCTTATCATTGTCATTGCAAGGAACTTACATAAGAAAAAAGGAGCTCATGCAATCTAACTGAGTGTCGCATATCAAGGCATCATTTTCCACACAAGAAAAATAAGACGCTGAAAAAAGTAAAATGAGGGAATTAAATTGTCGGAGATACGAAAAACAACCAAAAGATATATTCTCATTTTTGGCTTAAATGTGAAAAGATAAGCATGTAAATGAAAGAGAGGCAAATGACATGACAACCTAAGGCAGATAAGCTCCGTATGAACAGGTCCTGTGAATTCCCAGGATCAGGCTTCAATATAACCTAAATTACAGGAAACATAACAATCATAAAGTCCACAGAGAAAGATGCCTTAACAATCTGTGCTCACACAGAATATATCAACTATGTTCCAAATAAATTAAGAGAATAGTACCTGGAATTGAGTATGACGCTGAAGTCTGTTTGGGTTTTCACCATAGCGACTATCGTCAGGTCGGATACTGGGTTCCACGTACCTTCCATCAATAACTACATCATCAGTAGTCAGAACAAGGAACTGAGAAACAACAAATACATTTATGCAATCAAATTTTGAAAAAGATAGATACTCCATTTAAAAGTAAAAAATAAAAATAAAAAGATAGATAGATACTCCATTATCACCAAAAAAATAATAATAATAATAAAAAATCGGATCTGATGAAATTCATCATTAAGCGCAAGTAAATTACATATGTCTGCAGACAATCATACGGCTAATCTCGCAATTAGCAACACACGGGTAATTTTCATTAAGAACAAGGCAAATGGGATGTGTCATATATACAAGGGTATCTCTGCTCTAGCCCTTATCTCATTAAAACATCAGTGTCAGGCTAGATAAAGTACATAGTTAACAAACCATATTCAGCCATCACCTGTGTCTCCTTAATGATTACAACAACAACAAGCAACGACATGTCAAAAGATGGATTTGGTTATCGGTTGCAGTCATTTAAACTTGACCAAAAAAAAAGAAGAAGAAGCAAGAACTTCTATAGAAGACCAAGCATCAACACCCTCCATTAATTACGGTAAGACTGAAAATTGCAATAAAACATCTGAGTTTTGTAAAGTACATGTGTCATTTTATACTCTTCTTCTGAGATTGAGATCCTTACTTGTATCATTTCTTAAACGTATTTTTCAGGTCAATCAGTTCATTCAACAATCAATAAAATTTAAGGACGCCACCTTCATCACATAATTACAGATGGCATCAAAAGCAAACTTACGCAACATTCCAAGGTTCAGGACCCAGGACCCTTAAGAAGGTCAGAGGATTCATAGTCCCAGCTCCAACCTGATAAATTCATACAAAACTAATTAAACCAAAAAAATGAAAGACAATAAATTTTAAAAAAGACGATCCTTGCCCAAAGTTACTCCCAAAATAAGCATCTAAAAATAGCAGAGCACATAACTCTGAGAGGGAAAAAAATGGCAACCAAGGAAAATCTAGATAAGAATGCTACAATAATTACCTCGGTGTTACTGCATTGCATTACAGCGCAGCCAACTGAAGCCCAGTATTCCTGCAACGTCAAACGAAAACAGGATAACATATATAGAAAGGAAAATTAAGAGAGAGATGATGGATCAAACAGTTCAATTCAACAAAATACAAAACAAATAATTAGGAGATGCTTCTCCTTCTTAGTTCTGTGAATAGCATCAAATACCAAGAAGCATCACCACTCAAGACCAGGTTCAAAGGAGAACAATCCATGAGTAGAGTTCAGAAACTTTTTATAAATAAATTCGATTATGAAAGAAAGCCATTTCCCAAAATTTCAATACCCTAATGAGAAGGCCGTGTTGAGATAAGCAAACGACGCATTTGCAAAGGTCAAAAATGGAAACTAATCCCCACAAACGTATAGCCTCTTTCTTATTATTTTCCTATGTAATTGTAGTAGCTTTCAACTTGTCTAGTCCTACAAACTTAAATCAAGGAAAGTGAACTAACATGCACTTAACCCCCTTTTTCTTTGGCTCCCTAGTCTTTCAAAACAATTGAGTTGAGCCAGTTTCTCTTGCATTAAGCCAACGCCCAACAGTCACATTAACTCAATTCAGGAAGATGAGAACAAAAATCCCCTATCCCATTTTCCCGAAAATCCAACAAGATAAAATCCAAAAGCCAGGAATTTGGTAGCTTCAACTGAATTGAGATTGCATCAAACCTGGAGGCGCTGAATGGCTTGTTGAAAAGTGAGCACGGATGAAGACTTCTTGGGATGTTGGAGACTAGTGGGTTCCGCTGAGGAGTCTTGGGAAACTGCAGAGCCAGTAGTACTTAAAGCAGAAGCAACAGTTTTCTGGAACAAAAGGCTCTGTCTTGAGCTGAAAAAATATGGCCTTGTACTTGAGGCAACAAGGTAATTCAGGTGAGAGTTGTTGTTGTGGGGCTTGAGAATTGAGGTCATCAATGGCAGTGCCAGAACCGCCATTGTTGTTGTGATAATGGAAGGTGATGAAAAAAATTGGGGAATGAATCAGTGATAAACCTCAGACTTTTGAGGGGTTTGAGATTTTGGGGTCTATACTATAAGGACTCTGAGTTTTGTTATCATGATGATGATGATATCCATCCAGAAGAGGGAAGAGTGGGAAAAACAACCTTAAATACTGCTAACAAAACTATTGAGAAGAAATAACCAAAATTGACCGTTTGATCAGTTTGCTCCTTTAGTCCTTCCTATAAGATTGGGTTGCTATTTTATTCCCCATAAGTCTGTTTTTTTTTCATTTTTGTCCTTTTCTTTTTTTTTTACTTCCATCTTTGTAACAGAAGTATAACAATATTGTCACGTCTAACGGTGTTTGATTGTTCTGTTGTGATTTTGATGTTAGTAGGAAATGCTAATTTTTTGGAAAATATCTTATTAAAATGAGTAATAATATGGCCATAAAATCAAGAATTGGTAGGTTCCAAATTAATTACATTGGGATAAGTAAAAAAAAAAAGGTACTATTAGTTTTAAAGTAGAGTATAAAGGCACGACTATTTCAACTAGTGTAGGTAGATACATTTAAGGAGATACTAATTTATCAGAAGATAAAAAATAAAACATATTATGGGCCAAATTAGTAACACTTTAAAGTGCATATGTAGTATTATTTTAGGGTCATATATTTTACAAGATTATCTTTACATGCCTTTGATACAAAACCTATTGTTTTATTAAAATGGTGTATATTTACTGGGAGAAAGAAACAATAGCGTGTCAAATAACTAATATTGATACAATCATTACATTTGTAGAATTAACATATTGTACGTATATTTTTGTGAATAATATTTTTAGTCTGTGGAGCAAACGTGACATAATTAAATCCCTCTAATAACAATCTTTTACTCTTTCTTTGGTGGTTTATTACATTTGTTAAGAATTCCGCCTTACTTGGTGCTAGAAAAAAAAAAAACTTATTAATGGCTAAATCTAATCCTACTTTGGCCAAAAAAAAAACTGATTAATGTCTATATCTAATCCTACTTTGGCCTAGAAAAACTTCCAAACATTAGGTGAGTGGTCGTATATATTATACTCTTGAAAAACTTCTTAATTTATAAATTCTTTGTAACTTTTTTCCTTTCATTATAATCTTGTCTATTTAGTTATAAATTAGGAAAGGAAAACCGGTTCAAATGAGACTATTCGTAGTCTAGTCTATTTATACACTTTTATAACATACATGTTTAATCTACAATAAATTATCTGTAAATTAATAGTTTTCTTTTCGATTCCAAGTCGAGACCAGTATAAAAAATGAATGCAATCGATAAAATAATATAATGATAATTTTTCATAATTTTTTTTTGTACAAATATCGGATTCGACAATATCATATATTAACTTAAAATAAATAACAAAAAACTCAACTTGGAACGTATGCTAAAATACGAATATAATAATATTTCATTTTTATTAAAAGTTATAAAATGATAACGGGAGAATCGATTATATAATCTTTCATATAACTTGAAATTTATACAATTTTTCATATAGTAAGGAGAATTGATTATGACCTACTAGATTTGATGGAAGAGTTTACTCCAGAAAGTTCGAGGTCGATTATCATGAGAAATACAGGGACAATAATTTAAATTGGGTTTAGGGGGAGAGTAATAAGGTAGTGTAGGGAAAAATACATATTTTATTAATTATGAGGGAATAATACAAGTGGCAAAACAAAAAAGGCTAGTAGGATTCTTCAATATTTTATTTTTAAAAGTCTATTAAACAAATTCTTTAAATTAAATTATTAATTAGTCGATAAATTAATTAATATATTTACAAATTAATAGTTTTTAAGGGTACTAATATAAATTAATAATTTCTAAGAGTCAATATTAACTTATAAATATTTTACTGTAAATAGAAACAATAAAAAAATTTGCATTATTGTTGTTTGCTTGCATTTTGTAATGAGTGAAGGTGTTGGACTTGTTGTTTGCTTAAATACATGGTTCAATCCAATAACAACGAACATTAACAAATATTTTATATTGTAGCCAAAAGAAAAATCAGTTATTTTAGTAAACGGAAAAAAAAACATTGGTATTGGCACACACTTTGAAAAGGATATTTATTGGATAGATTTTTAATTAATTCTTCATTTGTACTATAGCCCATTACTATAGTAAGAATTCAATGTCACTCGTATTAGATAATTGTTTTTTCCTTTTGTTTTTCTTTTTCTTTTTTAGTTTTTTGGAAAATGATAAATATAATGATTAATATCCAGTAAAAATAAACAGTGGCTGAGTTGGCCTTCTAATTTGTTGCCACTTTGATGTTAAAATTATATATTTCTTTACAAAAATTACAATTATACCATATAAACACATCAGTTATTATGAGTTTTTATTATATCTTTTCACTAGTTATATCATTATTTTTTTGGTTTTTCCTTAATCAACAACCTCTAAGTACATACTACAACAACAATAAAAAAGAAAAAAGGTGGAATAAATGTTAATTCCAAATAATGTAGTTCCATTTCCATGCCACGAAAATACCGAACAAAACCCAGTTTAATAAACGAGATGTACACGTAACCATTTCATTTTGCCTTCGGTCCATGTTTCAGAGTGATTACTCAAAATAAGTTGCTTCATCTCTCTCTTATTTTTTCTTTTATTTAATTTTTATCATACTTGTTATAACTAGGTGTTAGACCCGTCCGATGAACGGGGAAAGTATACACATTTAGACATTTTTACATAAATTTTGTATTTTTATAAAATATGTAATGACTTCAGTTTAAACATGATTACCTCTGGATTTGCAGGAATTTGTTTTTTTTTTAAATAACATTTTAAATTCACTGGTGATAAGGTTTATGCAGATCTCTTTAAAATTTGTTAGGATTTGGTACTCTCTCCAATCAATCTTTGTGTTAAGATTTGGTTCATGAAAATAAGGGTTCGATTTTTATTATTTTGTTTTTTTTTAATTATTTTAGTTGCTTTTTTTGTTTTGTACATTTTTAAGTCTAAGAAATAAAGAAAATGCCACATAGGATTAAATCATACGTGGCATGTGCTCCATGCCTTTAGTTTTCTCTCTCTGGTTTTTGCCTTAGTATAATATATAGATAGATAGATAGATACAGAATCATTATTATGAAGAAAGTATGTACAAATTCTATTAATGATAAAAACTAACATGAAATTAGCTTTTTTTTTTTGGTACAATGGAAAAACCAAAAGGCTAGACGTGATAAATAATATGAAATTAGTTTATAACATGTTATCTTGATAAATAAATATTAGGCGGTAATATTAAATTGTGAAAGGTGGTAGAACATGATAGTAAAGGTATATTTATTAAAAAAAATTACTATGGTTCTATATTATATATATATATTTGTTTTTATTATTAAATTTTGTATATATATTATTATTAAATTTTATATATATACTTGTATAAAATAATATAGTAATTCCTTTTACCTTATTAAAGCAGAAGACATGAAACTTATGTGGCAATTAAGTATGCATCTGTTTTGGCTCCAATGCACCATATTTTAGATTTCAGGAGTCTTTTTGCCACGTGTAAATCTCTTTTAATTAGAAGTTATATAATTTTTTTTTAAAAAAACACATATTTTACTACAAATAAGGATCAGTTACATTTCAAACGAATGGATATATTAATTCAAATTCAAATGTCCAATCGTATAGTTTTGTAGGCTTAATATAAACAAAAAAATAAAAATATCTAAATCCAGCAATTAAGAATAATGTTTTATAAACTAATTATTTATTATTCCCTTATAACCTCAGATTTATAGGTATATTTTTTTAAGCCACAAATCATAGCACAAATGATATATACGCCAAATTAATTCCTCAAAAAATTGTAATTCAATTAGATTTTAATAAAATAGTAATTTAGAAGGGGCGCCCGAGCATCTGCCTGGGCCAAACATCTAGTTGACAATATGTACAATAAGATGAGATAATAACTGCACAATACGTGTCAAAGAATACAAAACTTACTGCTTGTAATTTTACACTAAGTAAATTTGTCTTTCTGCTCATTATTATACTATCATTTTACCGTCTATTTAATTAAAATAATACTGTACATGCAATATAAGGTGGGAAAGTTTACTAGAAAAAAACAATTTTTGATGAGATGTCTAGAGTGTACTGTTGTGGCTTCTTACACATCAATTTTTCAAAATTATCTTACAAAATAAAGAGGGGAAAAAAGAAAGAAAGAGGGGAAAAAAAAGAAAAAGAAAAAAGAGAAAAGGATAGAGAAGCACACGAGTTCCACAGATGATAGAGTTGAAAAAAAAAGAAGAAAAAGAAAATAACAAAACAATAAATTGGAAGGAGGGGTTTTGCAGATTAGGTTGGCTTCCTACTACAAACATACTCCTATTCTCTCTTCTTTCTCCTCACACACACTCACACAGTCCACTGGATTGCGGCTAGGGTTTCACCAAACCCTACTTCCCCTCTCTCTATCTCCTCCTCTTCCCCCGGAAGAAGAGCAAACATTTCACCTGTACTTTTTGCCGTACTACTACTTTTTTACATAGATCAGCCATGGATATACGATTAATTGTTCTTTATTGAACAAAAGGGTTTTTTTCTTACAATAAAAAGGAGTAAACTTTGGGGGGTTTTTCTCTGGGTTTTGCAAATTTTGAATTGACATATAATGGCGACTGTGAACCCTTTTGATTTGCTGGGAGATGATGATACCGAAGACCTTTCTGTTCTTCAGCAAAAGGTCACTGTGGCGGCGGCTTCTAAGAAAGCCCCTTCTGCTCCGGCTGCTCAGCAGCCATCCAAGCCGGCTGCTAAGCTCCCCTCCAAGCCTCTCCCTCCTGCTCAAGCTGGTATATCTCTCTCTGATTAAGTTTGGATTATCTATTGCTTGTTTGCTTGCTTACTCTGTCCTTTTTGATTGTTCGACTTACCTTTGGTCTTAGTTAGTGTAGGGAAAAATGGAAATGATAAGGGAATGATTTTGGGGTTGTTTGGTTTAAGTTTGAAGATATCACAAAGAAAGTTTTTTTTTTTGGTCATAATTAGTGATTGACAATGAACTTTGACATGAGACGATTCGGATTTGGCCTTTTGCTTATCTGTAAACATTGAACTCTTTCCCTTTAGACTTAACTAAGGGGACTTCCTTCCAATGAATGTGTAATAAATGCATCTCCGATATAAGATGTGGTTAAGGATATCCCTTATAGCAATTATGAGAAAGTTTAATGCAGTCTTTCCGGCACAAAGGGATGTTTTGGTGTTTTCTGCATTACAGTACAATGGTTGTTGGGGTGGGCTTTTTTTGTGTCTGTGCCAAGTTTTTATTGTTTGTAAATAGTTTACCATGCCTGGTATATTGGTTTCTAAAAGCGGTCTGTATATGTTTGTTGGAATTCACATTCCAGGTGACTCTTTCTCCCTGTGAATCATTTCTGTGTATGTTTTTGGAAAAAATTGCGACATGTGATGCTCATTTATGTTAATTGCATGCCCTTGTTGGCTTTTAAACGTGTAGTTAATTTCCATCTGATGTGTTATTTTGTCCGCAGTAAGAGAGGCAAAGAGTGAAGGTGCACGTGGAGGTGGCCGTAGTGGAGGACGCGGTTATGGCCGTGGTCGCGGTGGACGTGGATTCGATAGGGACTCTGCCAATTTTGACAACAAGGAGATCTCAGGTGGTCAAGGAGGCTCTGCTGAAGATGCAGAAGGCGGAAGATTTTCTGAAAGGAGAGGAGGTTATGGTGGACCTCGCGGTTCTTTCCGGGGTGGTCGCCGGGGCGGGTTCAGCAATGGGGAAATGGCTGATGGGGAACGACCAAGGAGGCCTTTTGAGCGCCGCAGTGGAACAGGACGCGGGTAATTAATACTTGTTCAATTGGGGAAAAGTGATGTTATTTTCTATGTTGTCTTACAAATGGTCCATTTTCTGAATGTTTAACCTTTCTGTAACTTGTGTACAGAAATGAAATAAAACGCGAAGGATCTGGCCGGGGGAACTGGGGAACCGAAACTGATGAACTTTCTCAGTAAGTATTGATCTTAAATATTTACGTTTGAAATGCCAAGTTATTTCCACATGTTGCTTATCAATTGGTACTCTTGTCCAGGGCTAATGAGGCTAATAATGATGGTGAGAAAGTTCCTAGTGCTGAGAAATTGCCCTCAGGAGAGGAGGATACTGCTGATGCCAATAAAGACACTTCAGCAAATGAATCTGAAGAGAAGGAACCAGAGGATAAGGTTTGTGTCTTTGCTACGAATCTTTCATTTCCGACTTTTGAGGTACTTATATTTTGTTTTGTGTTCTTTCCAAGTACAAACACTGCAATCGTCAAAGAAAAAGTTGAGTAGAAATAGCAGTAATGTTTGTGGAAGGCAGTATTCATTATTATCTATCAGAGTTAATGAAGATAAATTTTGGCGTGATGAAGAATGAACTGAAAAAGGAGACTAGGCATCAGTGTCTTTTGTTTCACACATGGTGGTAATAGTGCACATTGTTGTACTAATGATTTCAGTAATTGCTTTGTTCTGGTTCATTATGTGAGTGAATGGATATGTTTCCAGGCTTTTGGAGGAAAGCATATTTCTTCACTATCTAATTCATTGTTAATTTCTTTTTTCTTTTTCTTTGAAGTCTGTAGTGGCCTATTACATTTTAGTACTGCTTCATGTCCATGGAAACCGATTGTGATGTTTGTTTTTCTTCTGGATGTCTCTGATTTCTATTATAAGGTGTCTTCTGAAAGCTGTTGTCTTTTTAATCTGGTTATTCTTAGCCATATGCTTTGGATGGAATTGATATTTGGAATTGTCAAGTTAGTGTTTCTTCTGCTTCAGCTACTGTCTAGATTAGATTGCTGTCTGCATGTTTGAATCTAATTGTAAGTAGCAAAGTTCAGAATGATTTGACAAGGATAGGGAGGTGTAGGTGTTTGTAGGAACTATGACGATGTGTGAGGCAGGAATTGTGCAATGAGCCCCGTCCTCCTCCTCATGGTGACTGTCTCTAATTGCATACCTACATGCAGGAAATGACCCTCGAAGAATATGAGAAGGTGTTGGAAGAGAAAAGAAAGGCTTTGCAGGCTCTTAAAACCACTGAGGAGAGGAAGGTTGATGCTAAAGCATTTGAATCCATGCAGCAGATTGCAAACAAGAAAGCAAATGATGAAATCTTTATCAAATTGGTAAGACTTCTATGGAGTTCCTTTAGAATCTCTCTTTCTGCCATCATATTCTTGCAATATATTGTTTGATGCTGTTTGTTTTTTGAATCTAAGCTTCTTGATTGTGGCTTTCCTCTGTCCAGGGTTCTGACAAGGACAAAAAGAAGGAGTCTCTGGAGAAGGAAGAAAGGGCCAAAAAGGTAGTGTGACATTTGCAGGAGCCACTTTGTTACATAAGTTGCTATAAAATTCCTCTTCGATGAAATTTCATTTTAGTTGTTTGGACCTCGTAACCATCCTTAACAAAGATTTGAGGATTTTGGGGTTTGGCAGATGTTCCTTTAATCTGGGCAAAAGGAGCCCTTTTAACACTTGTGGTCTGTTTTATTGTTGTATGCCAGCTGCTATCTTATTAGGGTATCCTCACCCATTGGCCTTTTGTTTTTTCTTTGGGTGTAGTCACTGAGCATTAATGAGTTCCTGAAGCCTGCGGAAGGTGAGAGGTACTACAGCCCTGGTGGCCGTGGTCGAGGCCGTGGCCGTGGATCCAGAGGTTATGGTGGAGGTAACTCGTTCAGCAATGTGCAAGCCCCTCCAATCGAGGATCCTGGACATTTCCCAACCTTGAGCGCCAAGTGAGGTGTTGGGGTTGCCCTTACCTGCCGTCGCACAATGTGGGATCTCGTCGCCTGAGAGGAGCATACGTGGAGTTGCAACTGGCAGGGAGTTGAGTAGAATAAATAATTTTATGTAACAAAAGAGTTTGTGTTAAAATGTAAATTTCTTCTTCTGGCTGCCTGTCATTTGTGTTCATGTAGTCCGTTCCTTTCTCGATTGTGTTTCCACTGTTGACTCCCTTTTTTTTTTTTTTTTTTTTTTAACTTATGAAACGACTAATTTATGACTTGAATTATTTACGAGCTTTGTTCTGAAATTGATGGATAGAGGGATGCATTTTGCTGCTTGATTCAATCGTTTAATTTTGAGTAGTATGTTCTTTCTCTCGTTTTTTTTTTGGTGCCTGGACCTGCTTGCCACTATGTTCAAGGAAGCAGCTCGAATGTTTTAATTAGTTTTCTCATCAGTTGCTCTGTTTATCTCTGCGTGCACAGCTCCAGTTCAACACAAAGGGATTGCATGTGTGTTGAATTAATCTACGTTACTTCATTTTTTACTTTAATCAATTTCTTTTTGGAGACTGGAAGGAGTAAATGGGGCGTTTGAGGCAAAAGCTTCGAACACATGGCCAATCTAACCAAAAAGATTTTCTGGGAGTCAAATTCAGCCAATAGTAGCAATTTTTGGCTTCAGTGAAATCAACGAGAAGTCAGGTCAAAATGAATTCATGCTACAAGTAACTTTTCACAATTTTTAATTCTCTTGGGCATACGGTTCATCCCTGATGCTTCTAATTTTTTTCCCCTCTACATTATTTATTTCAAGAATTATATGCTTTTTTTCCAAATTATTTCTTACCCACACATACAATTTTTCTATGAAAAAGAAGGTTTTCATTTATTTATTTATTTAGGTTTTGATTATAATTAGAAGGTAGAAATCATTTCAAGTTCATGAAACCTTCTCCAAAATTCGATGGGTTGGGCTAAAACGACCATTTACTCAATAGAAGAGTTGCTGCTTACGAATTTTCTTCGTACACCTATAAGAATTGCATTTTTCTCTATCCTAATATCTTTAAGAAGGTTTTTAACTTTATGGGACAATATTGCGTGGCATGGCATCCAACACTTGGTTGTCGTACTTGATCTTAGCCGAAAGGCCCAAAATATAAAAAATTTTTATTCACCCTAAGTTTCACTTAGAATGTTTAATTGACCAAAAAAAAAAAAATTTAAAAACTATTTCATAACAATTAAGAGAACACAACAAATATGAATATATATTTTTAAGGACCGGAGGGAGTATAATGAGAAAATACGTACATTTGTTGTATCTCAATTTTTTAAGGTGATGTAAGGAGTGCATTGAATTATTTTTCATGATAATTGTTCGTGTAAAGTGGTCCAAATTAAGATGTACAAGTCGAACTACACATGTTTGTATCCTAGAATTATTTCGTATGTTACGATGTCCAACTTTAGACATCCAATAAAATTTTTTAAAAAAATAGTGGTATCAATAAGTCTTTAAACGGAGTATGTTCGGAATTTCTAAAAAAACATGTTTATCGTGTTACCAATGGATGCAAACAGGCGTCCTGAGCAAGAAACTTTCCCTGCAAGTAAGTTTGACATAAATTTTCATCCGCTTCCAAAAAAAAACCCATTGGTAGAATACGTCCAGAAGATTTACGTCGGTGTTCTTCTCGAGTAAGTTTTTCCTCAATTTAACGTGTAAAAAAACCTGCTCTTGTTTTTGTATTTCATTTTTTTTTTTAAATTTATTGGGGAGGGGGGAAATCGATGGGGGAATTGGCGAGCTGGGTTTCTGATTCGTTGATTTCTCTATCGGTAGAATCTCGCCCTGTTGTTGTGCAATATGTCATCAACCTTTCCAGAAACTCAGCATCGCTGACTGACCTTTTGAATTCCCTTGTTCTTGAGTTAGGGCTATCATCATCTTCCAGCGAAACTAATGATTTTGCCCGGCAGCTTTTCCTTCAAGTTGGAGGTAACTCCGCGGCGGCTTCCGGCGGGCCTCATCTATATCAAACGCGAGAAAGAGAGGCTGAATTTTTGGCTAAAAAGCAGAGGACCTATACCCTTTTGGAGGCTGATGAATCTGGATCCGGTGGTAAGAGATTCTGGAAGAGGATTAAGTCTGAGGAAGACGAGGAGGATGAAGAGGAGGAGAAATCGGCGAGGAGAAGGAAGAAGGGGGAAGATGAATCAATTCGGAGATCAAAGGCTTCTGAGATTGAGAATTTGAGGAGATTATCAAGGCAGGCATATTTCAAGAGAAGAGAGGCAAAGAAGCTACAGGAACTCAAAGATGAAATTGAAGATGATGAGTGCCTCTTGTCCATGGGTGTTAAGCTTTCTGAAGCTGAAAAGCTGGATCTAAAGTACAAGAAAGAATTATATGAACTGATCATGAAGAACCGGACTCGAGAGACTGATGAAACAGGGGAGTTTTATAGGATGCCTGAAGCCTATGATCTGGAAGGCCGTGTGGATCAAGACAAGAGGTTTGCTGCTCCTTCGAACCGCTACTGTGATGCCAATGCTTCGGATAAAATGAATCCATTTGCTGTGAATGAAGCTTGGGAGAAGCATCAGAGTGAAAAGGCAACTTTGAAATTCGGATCAAAAGACAGAAAGCAAAGCTCTGATGAATATCAGTTTGTGTTTGAAGAAGACCCAATCAAGTTCATTAAGGCTACAGAAGTTGAACAAGGATTATTATCATCCATTTCGGAAGTTAACACAACATCTGAAAGACTTGCAGATGACAGGAAGAGTTTACCTATTTATCAATACAAAGAAAAGCTGCTTGAAGTTGTGAAAGATAATCAGGTTCTAATTATTGTTGGAGAGACAGGTTCTGGCAAGACCACTCAGATTCCTCAATATCTCCTCGAAGCACGTTACACGAGGCGGGGAAAGATTGCGTGTACCCAACCTCGCCGAGTTGCTGCCATGAGTATTGCTGCTCGGGTGGCTCGGCAGATGGGAGTCAAGCTCGGACACGAGGTTGGTTATTCAATCCGTTTTGAGGACCGCACTTCAGACAGGACGGTTCTGAAATACATGACTGACGGAATGTTGCTGCGCGAATTGCAGAGTGAACCTGATCTTGCGAGTTACAGCGTGGTGATGGTGGACGAGGCTCATGAGAGATCAGTATCAACTGATATTCTGTTCGGCTTGGTTAAGGATATTGCAATGGCTCGTCCTGATCTCAAGTTGTTGATTTCCAGCGCGACTTCGGACACTGAGAAATTCAGTGAATATTTTGATTCTGCAAATATCTTTACCATCCCAGGAAGGCGTTATCATGTTGACATTCATTACACTGAAACACAGGTGGCTGATTACTTGGCTGCAGCTGTCGATACGGCCCTTCAAATTCACGTAAAACTGCAACCCGGAGATGGTGATATATTGGTTTTTTTACCTGGGCAGGATGATATTGAGAATGCCGAGGAGATGTTGAGGCTTAAAACACGAGGCTTGGGGACGAAAATACCCGAGCTGATAATCTGCCCGATCTATGCTAACTTACCAACAGAGTTGCAGGCCAAGATATTTATTCCAACTCCTCAAGGGGCGCGCAAAGTTGTCCTCGCCACAAACATTGCAGAAACTTCTTTGACGATTAATGGAATAAAATACATAATTGATCCTGGATACTGCAAAACAAAGACATATCAACCTCGGACAGGAATGGAGACTCTGAAGGTTACTCCTGTTTCTAAAGCATCTGCAACTCAACGAGCAGGTCGATCAGGGCGAACAGGTCCCGGGGAGTGTTACCGGTTGTATACCAGAGATATTTATAATTCAATGGATGAAAATGTTGAACCAGAGATAAAGAGGACGAACCTAGCGAATGTCGTACTCACACTGAAGAGCCTTGGGATAGAGGACATAAAAAACTTCGATTTTATGGATCCACCACCAGGGGAAACCTTAACAAAAGCCCTGGAGCTGCTGATTGCTCTAGGGGCACTTGATGAACCAGGAAAGTTGACCAAGGTTGGCAGAAGAATGGCAGAGTTCCCTCTTGATCCCATGCTGTCAAAGATGATTGTTGCATCTGACGAGTACAAATGCTCATCCGAGTTGATTTCTATTGCTGCCATTCTATCCCTTGGAAACTCGGTATTTTATCGTCCCAAGGATAAACGAAAAGATGCAGCGACTGCTCGCGAGAGGTTTTATATGGGGAATGTCGGAGACCATATTGCGCTACTAAACGTGTACAACTCGTGGAAGGAAACCGACTTTTCTACACAGTGGTGTTATGAGAATTACATCCAAGTGAGGAGCATGAAACAAGCAAGAAAGGTAAGAGAACAGTTGGAGGGGCTGTTGAAAATGGCTGAAATTGAAGTGACGTCAAACGCGAATGACTTGGATATAAGGATGGCCATAGTATCAGGTTGTTTCCGGCACACGGCTAGGTTGCAGAAAGGAGGATCATATCAAACTGTCGAATCTTGCCGAACTGTTTATATCCATCCGAGTTCAGTTTTAGCTCAGGCGCCACCGAGATGGGTTGTGTACCATGAACTGGTGGAGACTTCCAGGGAATACATGCGGCAGGTAACCGAGTTGAAACCCGAATGGCTGGAAAAAGTAGCTCCTCACTATTATAAGCTGGAAGATACTGAAGATTGTAGTTCAAAGAAGATGCCTCGGGCAGTAGGTCGTGCTTGTCTCAATTGATGTGGCATAGGAAATAAGCAGTAATTTTTTATTTGTGTAATGAAAAAAAATAAAAATAAACTTGTATTGGTATATTCTTTGGAGTAACCAGATTTGTCGAAGTTGAATAATGTCGTGTGTTCTTTTCGTTATTATGAAGGTTATTAGTACCCAACAATTGTCTCTAGTAAGTTTAACTGGAGCAGGCCCTCAATAATAATGCAACAGATGCTACGTGAGAGCTTTAGAATGAGCATGAAGCTGAGTCTTCTGACAAACTTCAAACGAAGCCAAATCTAGTTTGGCACCCAAAAAAAAAAAAAATTCTCTTACATTTTGAAATAACTAATATGAAAATTATTCAAGAAAAATGAAGCACAAGAAAGTAGTCCACTAAATTTTGATTGTACACAAATCCAGATAACAGTCAATTATAATACAATTATCACTTCCTTTTTCCTTCTTCCCAACTCTACAACGAAAAAGCATTAAAACTGGACCCTGCAAGGGCGTTCTTGAGTTGATCTTTTCACAGGCCACCAAATACACCGGCGGAGCGGATCCTGTCATGTCCTCTTTTTGCTCAGGAGGAGCAGCAGCCACTACTTTGTGCAACAGGCTGCCCCTTAATATTCACATTCGGAAGCTTAGCATTGTCCCTGGCTGGTTGGCTTGCCATCCTACATGCACAAAACAATCAGAACACCACAACATTAGAGCTTGCAAGTGCAAGAATAGTATCATGTAATATAAAACAAGATACATATGGACATGCCAATTCAGTACAGAGAAGACATAATAAGTGGATCTCAACGACGAATATGGCATGCACGCAGAAGTTAGCTTTTTGGTACCCCCAGTGTGCCTTGAGTTAAAGATGCGAGACTAGCAAGACGACTAGTTAACACTTGAAACTCACCATTCTTTAAGAATAAAGGTCCACAAGACTTGACACAGAGAAGTTGTAATCAAATAACATGCATGGAGAACTTTTCCAGAATCTCATGAGCTTAATTATGAATAAGGATCATTATCACTTGGACAGAATGAGAAAATCAAAGTTAGCCACTAGGATACACATATTAAGACCCGCGCTACTCATGTTGAAATTCAACTGATGCTGTATTTAGCAAACTACTATAGGTATATACCTGCTCTTTATAGCAGCAGCCATTGCCATGAAAGCTTGCTCAACATTACTAGCATTTTTCGCACTCGTCTCCATGAATGGAATACCAATTTCATCAGCAAAAGCCTATGCATCATCAGAGTAAAAATATTATCAGAATACATATGATATGGACGTCACTCTAACAGGCCAAACTTGAACAACATTAATTATGAAGAATTTCTCCACCTGAGCTTCCTCATAGGAAACAGCTTTCTTCTCAGTAAGATCGGACTTATTTCCAACCAGAATTTTGTTAACATTTTCGCTGGCATAGCGATCAATTTCATTTAGCCACTGCTTTACATTGTTGAAGCTTTCACGGTCCGTGACGTCATATACCACCTAAAAAAAACAAAAGCAAAACAAACATATGACAAGAGAGACCACAACGAAGAAATAAACATGGAAAAGAATATGGGAGGAGCTAGTCACAAGGGGAATGAAAAGAAGTAAATTACTCACAATGATACCATGTGCTCCACGATAGTAGCTGCTAGTTATTGTCCTAAATCGTTCTTGCCCAGCCGTGTCCCACTTGATTATTTGACAATGCCATAGGACAAGTTAGTGACTAGTGTTGCTTCCATAGAGGCAGAATTAAATATAAAAACAACTGAAGATAGACAGATGCAAACACATTTGCTACTGAGAACCAGGAGTCAGATCATGGCAAAGGAGCCAGAAAGCAGGAACTTAGTGGAGTGTTAAAGTCGTCCATTCGACAAATCATTTACTACACGTGAATGTAAGACCTTTCATATCTTTTCTCTCCAATGACTTTGTCAACATTTACAATGACAATATTATATAAGTAAAGGAAATTCTACACCCACTACAGTCCCAGAGTCAAAACGTCTTAATACAATCCCAGAGTCCAACAAAGCAGAAAAGAAGCTTAACAAGCAATAAAAGAAAGGAAGGGAAAGAAGAACGTACAATTTGAAGTTTAATAGTTTTCCCATCTTGCTCCACGGTGCGGATTTTCTACAAAGACAGAAAATTTATGAATAGATACTACATAAAGTGAAAAAACAAAAGAAAAATCAGATATTGACTATTTAACTTACAAAGTCAACTCCAATGGTGCTAATATAACTCTCTGAATAAGAATCATCCTGCATTTAAAGTAGTGCAACTTTTCAAATTCTGTTGCAGAAAATTAAGTTTAATATCAAATTGATGCAAATTATGATACCATTTCATAGCATGTATCGCAAATTCACTCATAGGGTTCGATCAAGTGGTATTCGGTACTAGATAATATAACACAACCATTTTTAACCAAAATGTAAAAGGGATGTGCGAGCGTCAAAAAGTCCCAGAATCTATCCATTAAATAACAGAATGACCAAACATACAGAAGAACTAAAAATGAAAATAAATAGAAAGAGAAACACTAATTGGGGATCCAAAGTAAAAAGAAGCAACAACATTTCACAAATTATGACTCATATCTAAATACTGCCAGAAAAAAGAAAAAAAAAAAGAAGAAGTAAGAAAACCGTAAGAAGTACACTAATTGGGGATCCAAAGTAAAAAGAAGCAACAACATTTCACAAATTATGACTCATATCTAAATACTGCCAGAAAAAAAAAAAAAAAGAAGAAGTAAGAAAACCGTAAGAAGCAACTACTACACAGGAAGCACTTCTAAAATTTGGCAAGGCAGTGAGAATTGAAAATGCCCAAACAAGTAGAGAAACACTCTGAAATAGACTTGTGTTAAAAAACACACACTCACCGCAAACCGCAGAAGAAGGCATGATTTCCCAACACCAGAATCTCCGATAAGTAACAGTTTGAACAGATAATCGCTGAAATTGAAACATGGGTTTATTAATGTCATAGGACGATGCCAGTGAAGAAACATAAAGCATAACTTCATTTAACTTTCCAACCTATCCAGAAAATTGAGTTCTCAATAAGAAAAAGAGAGGAAACAAAATCCAGTTACAGAAGGAAAACACAAAAAATAACCTTCTTCAGGCATCATACACAACAAGCACACTAACTTCAGCGAGAGTCAAGAACATCTACAGCAATAAATAACCAATTATCCACTATGTGGTTCTAGATACAGAATCATGCCTCGCCATCATTTACGCTCAGGACAAAAACTTAACAGCCAGATTCACATGGCCCACAGTTCTCCATTACTCAGACTATCATGCCAACATCATCATATAATTTACAAAATCAGAAAGAAACAAGCTCCTCTGTCTGAGTAAACCCTCAGAAAACAACAAAAAACACCAGCAGCCACGCAAATCAGGCCGGCCACCGTTGTTTTCCAAATGCAAACTGGGCATTTGTTTGATAACATACTTTCCTACAGCTAAAAAACCAAGAGCCCCTAGCAGTGGGTAGACATCTGGTAGCCTCCATCTCAAATCATTCTGGACTACATAACAACAATCAAGGTAAACCAAGGGTGCAAATATTTCTTGAACACTTCCTATGTTCCCGAGGAAACAGAAACTCCTAACCCTCAACCTTGATGAATAAAGGTTTTGAATATTTCCTTCAATCAAATCTTTTGAAAGAGCAAGAGGGCAAACAATCGTACAAAAGAATTCAGCAACTCTAAGTGACTAGGCACAACGCAAAAAATCGGACTAGGGTTCAAATTACACAAACAAGGGTTCGCACTCATAAAGCTAAAAGAATCACAGCATAAATTGGAGCATAACAAATCGAGAAAAAATCAAAAGGAAAAAGGACTTGAATATATACGCAAACAATCAGCTCCTGATTTATCGATCAAAACTTTATAAAATTACATCACGGATTAAATCATAATTCAACGGGAGAAATTGAGAACTTACTATTCTGGATTCATTGAGATCGAGGATTTGAAATTGCGCCGGAAAATAAAATAGACTCCTGAATCTGATGGAAGTCCGGAGTTTTGTCGGAGGATTTGCTGAAAGGGTAAAGAGAGAGCGAGTCGTCGTTGAGGGTGGAAGCTAACAACAAAGTAAACGCTTTACAAGTCCTATAATAAAACGCAAACCGAGGCGACAACGACTTCTGAAACGACCGGGAAAAAGAAATACTAATAGTAAAAATCTTTTTACAGCTAAAAGCGCAACCAGGCCAGGTGTCTTTTGAGATATGTTAAGATGGGCCAAATTCAGGCCTGACATTCTAAACTACCAGACTGTTTATTGGGCTTGTAAGGCTTTAAACCAGATTCAATATTCTTCTTGACTACGCTCCATGGTTTGTTAGAGATATATATATACTTACTACTGTATTAAAATTCAGAAAATTTATTGTTGTAATAAACAAAAATCATTTATGTATCATCTTGTAATACAGTAGTTTAAAAGGTTGTGGTGTCAAATTACAGTACGATTCGAACTAAAAAATGCTTCCAAGTCAAAATATTAATGTATATTCCTTTGTCCTAAAAAAAAAAAAATTAAAACTCCGCTCGTTAAAATAAAACTGTACGTAGATACTACTTTCGTTTTTTATTTTTAATATTTTATTTTGGTAGTATAATAATCAATATACGAATCAAAAATCATAAAATTATCATCTTAATAATGTATGATTAATGATGCATGCTTAGTTTTAACCATACATCATTAAGATACTCCCTCCGTCCCATAATTATGGTCCAGTTTGGGTTTTTATTTTTAGTTCAAATTGTACTAAAAATAAAATCTCAAACTGGACAATAATTTTGGGACAGAGTGAGTAATAATTTTTTATTAATCAAATCTCTGTTTATTTAGGTGACCTTTTGCAAGACATCAGGGATGTAATTAGACAGCTGGGTAGTTTTCATCAGTTAATTAAAGTTTCTAGATAGTATTTGATCAGCAATCAAACGAACAATGACATATTTTTCTGTCTTCAACCCTTTTCATTTAGTTGTAGACTTGTAGTATACATGTAGTACTTCCCCGTAATACAATTGTTAAAAAAAAAAATGGAAAAAAATAAAAAAGAAAATGAAAACAGTCTCTGTGGTTTTCTGATCCAAAATAAAATAAACAAATAGTACTAAAAAATTGCACCGTCGACACCGCCTACCGGGGAACCCAATAAACTAAGCTTGATATTTTTGCAAGTTGTAAAACCATGGGGGGAGGCACAAAGCGGTTTCTGCCTTTCTGGTGGTCAATTTTAGTAGTATTTGCCTTTCGTCTTCTTTATATTTAAATGTTTATATTTGCTGCCCCAAATGCAATGCATGACCATTAATTGGTTAAAGTACAAACCGCCAACCAACAAAAGCTATTTCTCCATTCATTCACAGACGACGCAGTTTGCACAACTTGGACACAGTGCCATTAACGCACACAAAATTCAACACTAGTGTTTTTTGCTTGATTCATGCACACAGTCACACAGTCAAGATTCGGATGTATCTTGGGACCTAACCAATGCACAATTACAACAACAAAAATCATCTTTCTCTATAAATATATATGATATACCAACCTTTTCATTTGTATTATAACTTTTTAGTGTGTGTTTATATAGTTTTCTTAGTTCCTAAGAAAGCTATCTCTTAATTTAAACACATCAATCCATCCATATATACTGCATCTCTACTTTGGGTTTTGAGAATTGTGTATATATATCCAGGAAACGAAGGAAATGCATCGACTTATATACGTGCATTTGTACTTGCAGTGCTTAACATTTTTTGCAAGTGTTCGTTTGAGGTGATCAATCACTTTTGTATACATGGAAATTGTTAATTATACAAATGGAGGTGTATTAGTTGCCGTTCGTTATATACTCTTTTCGTCTTAAATAGAAGCCATATTGGTTTTAATATTTTTCATTCAATAAGTAAGACTTTTATTGTGGGAAGCAGAAAGTGTGTGATAAAGTTTTGCAATTCCTCATGAGGTATGGTTTCCTTTCATAATGCATTACTGTATATCCATTATACATACCTTCTGATATCGATCGCTTCAGTTGCTTTGGTTAGTTCCTTATGTGTTTCGGATTTGAAACTTCTCACTTCGATCCCCCCCAGTTTTGTTTTTTCCATTTTCGTTTGTAATTTGGAAACCAAGTTATTGGTCACTTGTTGCCTTGGGTAAAGTCGAAATTGGAAAATGTGCATGTGTGCCCGGTAAAAAAACATGTGTGTTCTTTTTTTCAGATTCTGCAAGGCTTTGCATATTTTATTCTCACTCTATGCTTTAAAAAAAATAGTGCATATTGAGTTTTGCGATTTAAATTTATGTTATTTTCAGTATAAATCTTAAATTCACAACTTTTGAATTATTTCTCTGGAACGGAAAGAATGTATTATATCATACTAAGCCTAAGTTAAACTTTTGGAACCGAAAAAAAATTTAAAGTTTTGGACTATTTGTTCGCCAGGTACGAACAAAGCCATACTAAGCCAAGTTAGGATGTCTTTTGGAATGTCGAACTTTCAACGCCCTGTGTTAATCCTGCGTAATACTCCATAGCTCCGGTCCGTCGGATTTAATTTGGTGTCTAATAAATATGAACAGATAAATTTTAATCACACTATAAGATGGCCAGAGTTTTTTATTCATCAGGAAATAGATTTCCTAGTAAAGTAAACTAATCATGGGGAGGGAAATACAACGGCATCCGATCGAGGGGAAAAGAATTTGATAAAGAAGAGTTCCAACTAGTTTAGTTTACTTCCGCTAATGATAATACGATGATTATCATTTCATCAAAAAATTTTATTTGTTTCCTGTTAAAATATTTTTACTAATAATTTGGAAATAACAAAGCAGGAAGGACTAGTGAGTGCTATATTGATTTTTTGTTTTTCATTTTTTTTGGTTGGGAAAATATTTTCCTTTTTTCTGTGGATCAAACAGGCAAATTCAAGAGTTATGTCGGCTGTCTGCTTTGCAGGTTATGGAGTACGGTAAGAAATGCTGTTACTTCATTTGCACACGCACTTTAGCATTTCTTTTTGGATTCACCTTTTACCCGTAGGCCGTACCCGTTCGTACATGTAGTAAAATACACACTACTATATAAATATACTCGTATTTTTACGATGATAAAATTGATTGAAAAATCGTAGAAATACATAGCGATGAAGTAAAAAAATAAAAATACAAGAAAATCGTTCTCAAGAGTAAATCAGAAAGGAAGTAAATATAGTACGTGAATTCAAATATTTTGTTTTAATTTTGCAAAAATATCTTTTTTTAAAAAAAAAAAAACAAAGGAAGTAAATTTTTGGGACTTATAATGTTTTAGAAAAGTGATTTAATATTCTTCATCTTTCGCCCTTTACTATTTATAATGTTTACTAGTTTTATAAATATCACTAACAAAATTCATACATAAAGAGTTCAACCTAGCAAACTATTAATACATCTTTGTGAGGTAGGAGATTGGAAATGGGAGCTATACTCATAGAACTACAATTTTTCTCTCCACTTCCTTAATTGAAATGTTATTTTTACATTATTTATCTAACTAGTTCTTCCTTCTCCTAAAACGATTGTCCTAGCTAATTGTATTTGGATTAAAAGTGAAATTCAAATCAAACAATCATTTTAGACAAAAAAAAAAAAAATCAGTACAAGTATAAATTTTGCTTTAAGATAGAGAAAGTGTTTCCTTTTTCCTCCTAATTCATAGTTGTAATTTGGCATATATTCTCTCTGCCATAATATTATTGTTCAGTTTGAATGTTTATATAATGTGTAATTATTTCGAGACAAAGGAAGTATATTAAATTGTAAGTAATTTTATTTTATTTTATTTTTTAATAGCAAAGTGTATGTAATGGATATCTTCAAAGTGGCCAGCAATTCGTTGATATTTACGATTTGCCCCTCGTATTTATCATATATGTCACGTTAGAAAATATCTATTGCAAACGAACGGTTGAGATGATGTGAACGTTTCGGGATCGATGAATCGAGCGTCATTCGATTTGGAAGATCTTCCGGTACATCCAAAATGTTACGATTTGCGGTCCAGATGCGATGGATCTAAGATTAGATGATTCAGCGCCATTCGATATTTACCACCTTCACTTTCCCGTAATAGTGCGCTAAAAAACACACACACGAAACCTCGCCGGATCTATCAAACGTCCGATCACAATCCGGTTTTCTTTCTTTCTTTTTTTTTTTTAACCTTTCATTATTCATATGCGGAGATCCGAGCATCGACGGATCATTACTGTGTTTGGATCAATTAAAAAAGCTACGTACGTGTATGGAGGAAAAGGGCCGAATTAGCACTAAAGCATGTTCGAAATGGAATGATTTTCTGTTCGGTTCCATGTATACACCACACTGCCGATTTGTAAGTCATTTTCCTCATCCTATTGGCTTTCAGCCATGCTCATTGATTTAGTGAGAATTTTATTAGTTTTCCTTGTAGATAGGATGAGTGTTGAAATTTGTATTATGTATTATTCCTCAGTTGCGATTGAAATGTATGCCTTTCGCTCTTACCGACTAGGGAAAGTGATAGAATCAACATATTTCGAGAGTGCGGTGTAATTCTTGCGACCGAAAATGTTCATAGAATAAAAGAAAGGAATTTCTCTAATTGTTGTGAAACTGATGAAATCAATTCAAATATTGGGTTCATTCTACATGTTGTAATAGCAGGGCTCATTTGAAATTGATTCAAAACTTGGAAAATTCAGCCATTGAATTTTTATGAAAATGTTTCATTTTTTTCGTTGTATTTAATTGCTATCTATGCAAGGTTTACCGCAGAGGGAGATGTTATAAATTGTGCTTTCTATTGCCGTAACGAAACTCTTGTATGAATTTGTTATTTTCCTCTTGAAGGATTGGATATACTGTACTGGACTTCTGCGTTTGACATTCAAGTAATTACTTGTTCGTATGATATACATGTATATTTTTGGATGAACAAAATTAACTTCTTGGGAGATTCGTCGTTGATTCCATTGTACTTTAATGTTATGGTAAAGTACTCGTTCAATAGTGACAATTTGTGCCTTTAATTAACATCAAATTGTAGAAGGGATTTCTGCATTTGTGTGCGCACACGCTACCTGAAACTTGAGGGTTTCGAGTGTGATTAAATGGATGAGCTGACATCCCTTTCATCATGACGTAGCAATTGTTTCCATGAAAAATGAGTAATTCACCTATTGTTACGAGTAAAGTTGTGTTGTACTACAAAAAAATCTTGAAAATAATATTGCATCTCGATATTTGTCCATGGTAACTATTTCGCTCTCTAATTTTTGTACTAACATATGTTATCGTTGGTATTTGACTATTTTCTGGTTAGGAGTCCTATTGCATGATGGTTACTTATAACAAATCCACGCATTGTGTTTAAGAAATTTAAGGCCATTTTATGTGCACGTGTTCTAAACTATCCCATGATCATATAATCGTTCTGGATTTTATTGCTAAACCAACGCCAGTGGCACTATGGAATTGTGGCAACTCATACATCACTTTGTTCTTTTGTGTTTGCAATATATTACTGGTTTGGATGATTGGTTTTGCGAAAGCTGTAACTGATTTGTTGGAGTAATGTAGGATTGAAAGGAATGAAGACAATTGTCTTGGAGTTTCATGGAAGTGTAAAACATAACACATTCCTTTTTTTGGAGAAATTATTTCCCTTACCGAGCATTACAGAACCTAGACTAGTTTCTTGGTTGAATTAAATTATTTTCTGAGCAACTTTGACCATGAAATGACACTCAATTGATTCATGTCTATAAGGATCCACTAGAAACATATTCATTTTATTGGAAAGAGAAATGTCATTGATGGTCCTTCAACTTTATGTGCCCGTTCCATTTAATTATTAAATTTCTTTGTTAGTTCAAGGAAGTCCCAGATATTCAAATTTTCAGCTTAAATTTGTTCGTGACTATTTTTGTCAATCTTTTGGACCCATTTAGTGTAACATGCATGTGGCTTGCCTTTATTAAGAGCACTAAATAAGAAAAGTAGATGGTAATAGCACGCTTCACGTGAGAGTATGGTTGAAGTGTCCAAACAGTTGGCAAAAACGGGATCAGGTTTTAGTTAGAGTTAAATAATCAAAGACTAGGACTTGGTGCCAGACTGAATGGGAGTGACAAGTCAAAGGAATATTGGTGACATTCACTGTAGTTTACTTGCACTTTTGGCATGAAGAACTTGCATGTCGCCTGTAAATTTAGTTCTTTTTTACCCAATTTAGAATGTCCATTTAAATAGCTCATTTAAATTCCGTTGCTTCTTAATTTTGGTGAAGTTGCCGGAAATCAATAATTCAATGCACCAATGCATCTTGGGTCGTACTACTTAAACAACCTTAATGTATTGAAAATTACAGGGGTAACGCTACATACATCTTGACCCCCCAGACCCCAACTGAGTTGGGAATATACTGGGTTTGTTGTTGGAAACTGAAGTTGGAAGATCTAGTAAAATAATATACATAAGTAAACATATTTATTCTTGGTAACAGAAAATGAACTAACGAACGACACTATCACTCCTTGGAAGAAACATTGGCTCCAAACCTTCTACATAGAAAATACTGTCTCTATCCCCAAAATTGTGCGATATAGTTTTAAGGTACAACACACAGCATGTTATCTGCTGCCTTTTTTCATTGTACCCCTGCTTTGGACCACCAATGATCAAAAGGGTTTTGATGGAGACTTTAGAAACTGGAATCAATTTTTGTTTTGTGAACCAGGAAAAGTTGATCTTTTCTAGACTGAATGTTTACTGTGTAACTGGGATTTGGTGATTTGGCTTGGTTGGCAATACATGCTTTCTATTAGTATATATTTGTGTGGCAATATCCCCCATTCAACTGAAATGCAGATGGAGGGTTGACTTCATAGATTAATTTTCAGAGTATCTAAGTACCTCCGTTCCATGACATCATTTTTAGAAAGGAAGTCGAGAAATTCAGTGAAGCTCCCTTGTCTATATAAGGGAGGATTCTGTTCATTCACAAGCTCTAGTGCAGGCGCTACCCTTCGGTCTAAAGCTAGACTGTGAAGGCTTGCAATTGAAATACGATTGCTCTCTGTGTTGACTGTGGCCCTGTGGATGGGACTCCTGTATTGACCATTGCTCATTATTTCTAGTTGATCTCCAATCTGAATCACCAAGGCTCCTTTTTGGATTGGAATCCGACACCATCTGTTGTCGCAGTCCATAATTTCTAACCCTTGCTGGCTTTGAAGTATGATTGTCAGGTACCCATAGTCACTGTGAGGTGGGATTCCTAGTACCAGATCTGGTTGAGGACATCTTGGATAGCAGTTCACAGCCATGGCTTGTGATCCTTTCTCAATGTCTTCATCTATGTATTTAGGGCCTAGCCCTAAACTCTCAAATACTATTTCCACCAGCTGCTTGTGTAACATATACACGGCCTGAGTGTAGTCGCCCATTTGTTTCCTGAGAATTTGTTGAATATACAATGGTGAGTCTGCTATGGGAATTGATAATGCATGGTAGGGAGAGTAAGATATATGGTGCAAGTAGAGCCCCAATCTTTGTAGTGGAAATATTATTCTGTTGCTTACTTGTAATTCTGTGGATTTGATGGCCATGCATCAATCCATTTTGAAATTGGATGAGAATAATGTTTGATGAAGTCCCTCCAGAAGTGAATCTTGTCCTTGAGTTGATTTAGGCTGGTTCCATACCTTACAGGTTCATTGACATCACCTGATGCGAAGGTGAGCTTCTCTTCCTGTGGCAGATCGAAAAACTCAGTGGCGGCATCTAGGGCACCGCTCATCACCGACGGAGGTATTCCATGGTTGATAACCTGGTAGCATACAAGGTAATTTGTCATATATTTATGTTACAAATCCATGCATGCCATTTCCACGTGCATATTAAGTAATTGTTCCTTTAAGTTGTGCGACTAAACCAGCTAGGTTTTAACGAACAACCCCGAAAAGATTCACTTAATACTGGACCCTTAGAACAATGGAGACTGAATGCCCCACATACTTTTGGGTGCAAGGAGGAACAACTTGGTGACACTCTTGAAATTTGAACAATTACTTCATGTCAAGTTGTTTTCTGTCTTTTCTGTCTTTGACTCTTTGACATTGACACCACTACCTGATGAAACTGAACTTTAGGATGCATGCGTCACATCCATGCACTTAAATGTACAGCATTGGCTTGTTTCTTTCATGCATGTAAAAAGTTGCGTGAGCACAAAAGATGTGCAAAAGTAGAAACATTTGTGAGGTGAAATTTCAATGCCAGGGTTGGCGGGATATTGGTAGTAGTACTACTACGTAAGAAAATATACCTGGAAAAACCCTAGCTCCTTGCAGGCGAGGCGTATCTCTTCCAAGATTTGAGGTCGTCGATGTGGCTGTTGGAATAAAGACATGTCAATAGGGGCCAAATGCGGCTCAGGATCATTGATAGTACCGAGGTTGGGCCGGTAAGCTGGAGGAAGAATGTAAGAAGAAGGAACAGAAGCAGCTCCCATTTTAGAGAGTTCCATGACACCGGTGAATGTAGAAGTAGTAATGGTAGGGTTATTTTGTGTTTTCTGTTCCATGATCTCTTCTTCCTCTGCTTATTGGTGCTGGGAATGGTTGCAACGAGATCTCGATTCCTATTTATAACTTCATTGTTATCCAGAATTCACAAATTGGTTTCCATGCATGTTCAGTTCAATGAATGTGACTGGTGAAGGATTATTATTTTAATAATACGCTGACGCCTGGGATAATGAATATGGTGTGCCCAATTGCAGCGCCTTAGGTTTCCCTTTCTCATGAGATAGCAAAAGACTGTCTGTAACTCTTATACACCACGTCTAATGGCGGTACGGATTTGAATTATAGCCCTGGTATTGAATGGGTTACCGGGTGGTTCAATGTAGCCTAATTCTTGATTTGACCCTTTTCATCTGGTCTATTTCTCCTCCATTACACCAAAGAGTTTTCTATTTTTAGTATTGATTAATTTAGAAAGTGCGTTTGCGTTTGAATTTTTTAATATTTTTTTTAAATTTATTTTATCCAATTGTATCTTTCATAGTACCTTGTAATATAGTCCTGTAATAATTTATAACTAAATCTGTAATAATTTATAACTAAAACTAATTATAATAAAATTTCTCTAAATTAATCCTCTATTAATAATTTTTATGAAATAATACTTTTTTTCGGTCCCAACTCGGGGCCGGTACAAAAAATAATTTTTTTTTGATTAATTTATACGATAATAATTTTTCAAAAATCTCCTATGTAAATATAGGTCCTCACAATTTCACAAATTAATAAATATTCAAAATAAATATTCACAATTTCACAATGTTTGTAATTATTATGTTTTTATTCCATTAAAAATTATAATTTTATGGTTAAAAAAAATTTTAAAAAATTATAATGTTATGGCTACTTGGCTAGGGTCGCAGCGGACTTTGTTTTTGAAATAAAAATAATAACTTTTTGTATATTCTTATTTATCCGATTGAAAGAACTTTTTAAATTAAAAAATTATTAATTTATCGATAAATTTAATAACTATATAAATTAATATTTTTATAAATTAATGAATATTTGAAGGTTCAAGTGTATTAATTTGTAGAGGCTTTACTGTATATAAAAGGTATAAAGAAGTAAATTTTATTTTAGTTACCTTGTATTGGAATTTGGATATAGTTCATATAACAAACAAAAGAATATTCTTTCGGTCTTAAAATAGTATTCTTATTTTATTTTATTCATTTTTGAAATCAATAGAATTCTTATTTATTGTACTGAAACAACCAATGACTTTTTAAGAAAAAGGAAAAACAAAAACCACAAAAAAAAAAGGAAGCAGAAGAAGAAAGAAGTTAAATTATACTAGTTTGTAGTGTAGTCGGTTCACTGTAACAAATATGCCAATAATTCCAGCTTTATTTAAATTGAAGCTGGGGAAAAAAATATTTCAAAAAGAGAACAAAGATTCAGAATCTGTAGTAACAAACTAAATTTTTAGTAACATATTTTGAATCTTTAATGTCCTCAATTTACATGTGGCATGCGTTAATTTTTCTGTTTTTTTGGCATAGAGTAAGAGTTCAATAGAGTTCTCATTTCTCATGTAATTTACCACATGGTTGTTACATGATGTTGTAATAAAAGTTGTTTTGAACATAATTTTTTGTTTTTATTAATTTTTTTTGATAAAAAAACCCTTTGACTGTTGTTACCTAATTTAACTTCATTAAGACTTATATAATTTTGATTTTAGTAGTAGTATCTAATAATCCAGATACATAATCAACTATCACCATCTCAGAAGAGTCTAATTTTTGCCTTTTAAATGTACCGCAGAGGACATTGGATTCAGTGCACAGTTTTTCCAATTTCCATTCTTCACACACACACACACACACACACTGGATACAAGGTACTGCCGGGAATTTGTATGTTGAAAGAGAAAAATAAAAAATAAAAAGGCGAAAAATATATAAACAACAAAAATGAAAAATTAGAAAGGTGGGGTTTGACTTATCCGCTGCAGTTCTGACCCTAGGGAATTGAATGACACTTCTCTGTGTGACCATCTTTCTTTCCTGAATTTCATGCATCCTTCTTGGCTACCTGCCAAGATTGATACCTATACATTTCCTCAAATTAGCTTTGCAACCTAATATTTCCTCAAATTCCGAATCCCTGTTATATGGTTGTATTAATGAATCTGATCATTTCTTCAGGTTCTGTCAGTTGTGGGTGAAAGTTTTTTTTGTTTTTGGGGAGATTAATATTGTTTTTTTTTTTTTCGTATATTTGTAGAGTGTCCACCGTCGACAATAGTGACTAATCTTCCTTGCTTAATTGTAAGCATCTCAATGGGTGGGACAACTGGCCAAAGTATTTAAAATTTATTCATGCTCATAACGAAGTTCGAACCCTTGACCTGGTTAAAAATGGAAGAGTCTCACAACCACTTTGGTGGCTTTTTTCCAGGTCTTCCGAACGTATGATGCATGGTAGTACGTGGACTCTTAAAGACTTAAACCATGCACCTGGTCCTCTGTTTTTTCTAATTTCTCCTTCTATTCCAAAAGTATGGTATCATTAAATTAAAATTGTATAATAAATGTAATTTTCTTTTTGAGGACGAAGAGAGTAGTTCATATAGTTTAACTTTCCTTTTTTTTTTTGAGAAATAGTTTAACTTTCTTTAAAGTTTGAAGAATATATATATCTTACTATATTAGAAACAAAATCCACACTTAAGAGAAAGTACCACCATTTGCCATGTGCCATTTCCACATCATATTTTTAAAATAAATTTTTATTTTCACATCTCTTAAACTTAAAAGGCAAATGCAGTCCAAATTTATTTCCGCCTCCTATTTTCGTCAAAACAAAAAAAAACAAATCCTCATCCCCATCGCCACGACAATCGACTCCTTAATCAATCCCTTCTCCACAATTAAAAAAAAAAAAAAATTCCTCATCAATCATCAATTGAGAATATGTGGTGAAATATACTCCTTTCCTATTAGCATGTTCAATCTTTTATTAGTGATGATCAACTACATCCTAATCGGATAAAATTTTAACTTCAAAAAATATTCTCTTTATCTCTCTATATAAACACAAAGGGAAAAAAAAAATTCTCATTGATCTTGCTTCGGCCGTTGTGGTGGTGCTATTACAGGTATTAAAATTTAAATGATTTTATTTTCATAGATAATTGGTTTGGCTTTTATTATTTTTTATTTTTTTCGTTCAAGAATAGTGTTATTACTATAATTTTTATGCGTCCATCCGTTACAGCTACCGGAGCCGTTGTCAGGTAGTATGATGAGATTTCTTATTTGGTTAGTTAGTCTAGAATTTTTGTATGATTTTAGTTATGTTTGGATTGAATTGATTGATTGGGTTTTTGTTACAAAGTGTGGTTTTTTAAATTTGTTTTTTATGTTTCATTCAATTAGAGTGGTTTTCTTTTTTTAATTATGGAGTCTCAGGTTTTTTTCGTATATGGCCAGTTATGAAGTGTGTTTTTTCTTTATTTAATTACTTTTGATTTTGTTTCATACTCCTAGTTGACCAATTATTATTATTATTATTATTATTATTATTATTATTATTATTATTTTATTTGCAAATGAAGCACTTTTTTTTTGTGTTCGGGGTTTCAAGAATATACTTTTTTGGATTTGGTTTTTGGACATTTTTTAGTTACTCATCATATAAATAGTTCAGGTCGCTTCTTTTAACTAATTTGTGGGGAAGCCTTTTATGAATTTGAGGTGGAGAGGGAAGGAATAATGTTTCTACGTTTATTTGTGTTTTTATACATCATTTTTACCTACAGAAAAAAAATTCTCAAATTTTAATGGGCTATATTTTACTTTTTTTTTATTTGTCATGGTGAGGTGAGTTCTTTTTTGCTATATCTTGAAACCCATGCAAATTTACATTATTTTCATTCTCATATTTGTGATCAACCATTTTTAACAATTAACTAGTATTAAAATCATATTTTTGATATTTTACTACCTATAAACTTTTGGAAGAAATAGTTCCAACAATTAAGCGTATACCCTTTGGAGGAAGCTAACTACAAAGCTATTATAAATCTCCAAAACTAAGTATTGATTTAGCACAACCAATGGAGAACATCAATAAATTATCTTACTAATATTTAAACTTATTAAGATGCTTTTATATTTTTTTCTAGCATTTACTTCAAGACATATATTTGATCAAATTTATTTATATTTAAGAAGTAACACTTATAAAATATTTCTAAAATCTTCAAACATTTCTAAAACGTACCGGGCCAAATACAATTTATTTTTATGCCAAATACAAATATCACACTTATAAAACATTTCTAAAATTCTTCAAATATTTCTAAAATATATCGGGCCAAATACAAAATATTTTTTTTCCAGATACAAATATTTCTAAAATCTACAGATATATTGGGCCAGCGTCGCGCATTGGGCGACCAGACATCACTAGTGTGTATATATATATATATATATATATATATATATATAGAATTTATAATTTCCAAAAGATATTTTACTCTCTTTGACTTGTTGACATTGTCGAAAATGGTAAAAAAAATAAAATAGAATGGTTACTGCCCTTCTAAATTCTAATGTTAATATGTCACCCTTCCCATAACGTAAAACATACTTTGTCAAGTTGTTATTTATTTTTGTTCTAAAATTTTTGTCAATCAGAACGGAGAAAATAGTATAACATATCATCTAACTATAGCATGATATTAAAAAAAATTCTAATTATAACACGATATAATGCATACACTGAATATTTTCTTCAGAATTAAAAGCGCAGGCGGGTCCAGATTCAAACAAGTTGTAAGAATTTCGTATTCAATCTGCCTCCGCCGTGTCACCGTCCATCGACTTGTTCAATGTTTGTTTCCGACACCAACCTAAGATGCAACCAAAAAACTGACTCTACTTCTAACATTTTTCCCACGGTTGTGCGTAACTGAAGAAGGTGACCCCTTCACCCAAAAAAAAAAAAAAAAGAAAAAAAAAGACGGTAATGCCTTCATAGAGACCTA